TACATGCTGTTCGTGCGATTGCAAATCGGGGCTGGCAATTAACAAGTCGTCTATATACCCCTGCGCAAATGGCATATCTCGAAGTAGGTTATCTATGAATCTTTGAAATGTCTGTGCAGCATTTCTCAGGCCGAATGGCATGCGTACAAACTCTAATAAGCCAAAAGGTGTAGTAATATTTGTCTTGGGGATATCTTCATCAGCTACCGGGATATTGTGATATGCCCTGACTAAGTCAATTTTGGTGAATATGTTCATATCCTGTAAACCGTTTTTGAAATCTTGGATATGAGGTTTTGGGTACCTATCTGGTACGGTTTGACGGTTCAGGGCTCTGTGATCCCTGCACGGTCGCCAGTCGCCTTCATTCTTCTTTGGGACCATATGCAAAGAGGATGCCCATTAACTGTAAGAGGGACGGATAATACCCAGTTTTAGCTTATAATCAAACTCGGCTCTGGCAACTTTGAGCTTATCTGGTGCTAGTCTCCTGGGTTTTGCAAACACCAGTGCACCTCCGGTTTTGATAGTATGACTTACTTTTAGTTTGTCTTTGGAAGGCTGTGGCTTCGGTCTAGTTAAGTTTGGAAATTCCGCCAGTATATCTTGGAATATCGCTGTTGTTACTGGAGGAGTTTGAATCAAGTTAAGAGATCTGATGTGACTTTCTTTGCCTTTTATGTAATTCGACGTTTCTTTCAGTGTTAAGCGCCGCTTTTTAACGTCAACTAGAAATTCGTATCTCTCTAGAAAGTCCATCCCTAGTATTGCCAGATCTAAGTCGGCTACTGTGAAAACCCGAGGAAACTGCCTCCTGAACCCCAAATCTAGGGTTAAAGTTTTCTGCCCAAATGTCGAGATTTTAGTTTTACTTGCAGCTTGAAGTGTAATCGGGGATGGGTCTCGACTCAGCTCAGTTTTATTTTGAGGGATGATGCTAAGAGCAGCGCCAGTATCCACCAAGAAATTCAAGCCAGAGTTTCTGTCTCTAACATAAAACAAGTGACTGTTTAGGCGCCCCTCCTCAGTCGTCGCGACCTGGGGGGTACTCGTTTCCCGATGTCTTGGAACTATGCTTAGGCCAGGCGCACGGTTGCATGCACTTGGTTGAATTGAAACCAAACTTCCAGTGGTACCAACAAAACTGTTTATATTGTCTGGACATTTGTGACTTGGATCGTGGTCGTTGTGGTGACCTGCTCCTGTTTCTACGACCCATGTGCATCCTGGCGACAGCCTCAGTGAGACTCTTAACGCTCGCAATGAGTCCTTCTATGACGGGATCTTTTGCTGATTCCACTTTTTGTGTGTGATTTATCGTGCCCGATCCAGTTGGAGGACCTCTTTCCATTATTCTATCGGCTATACGCGCTAAATGAGAGAATGAAGTTTCACGATCTTGTGCATCCAAACTGTGTTGGATGTAGCATGGCGGAGCTTGTATCCATCCTTGTTTTAGAACTGCTTCACCCACTGTGTTATCACCCATTCAGACTTGGAGGTGACGTAAAAACTGTGACGGTGACCCTTCATCTAATGTTTCTCCTTGGAAAAGTTTTTGGATTCTTTGACTGTCTGATAATGATAAACGGCTCATTATCTCCCGTCTTAAGATGGTGTATGGTTGTGGTGATGGTGGACTTAAAATCAAGTCACGGACTTCTTTGGCGACTGAAGGAGGAAGGATAGAACACAAGTCTCTATAGCAAATCCCTTAAGATTTGATATTATGTCTCGTGAAATGATGCTCTAGTTGAGCAAACCACAACTCAGGATCACTACGGTCAAATTCTAGAAGTCGGGGTTTCGTAGTCATAACAGTGTCTATCTCCACCGGTGACAAATCCCCAAGATTATGGGTTTCTATTGAGTATGACATGAGATATGTGACGAATATAGCAATAAAATTAGCACGAAAAATTGTTACTATAACACGAATAACGTAAGATAATAAAAAATAAACTATTTATATACCCAACTTAGTTTACGGATAATCAGGTCTTCTTTTACGATTAAGTAAAAAAAATGTTAATAGCAAAAATGAAGTTAAATTTGTGTTCAAAAGGGCTCACCAGTTTCGTGCCTTAAGTTAACCGTCGTGCTATTGATAGAAGAAACCAGACAAGTAGTGAATAGGTCTTTATTTCGATCTTCGCGCAGTCACAGTGGAGCGTGGGATTATTTGTTCAGACAAACATAGCCTCTCAACATTCAATGTAAGATAGTAGAAAATATAACGCCTATGCAAAATAAGGAAGTGAATGAATACTTGAACTTTACTGTTTTGGCATATGCTTGGTTGTTTGAGATCAAACCTCAACCAACCAACCTAAGCTGTTACAGATCCACTGATCTAAAGTGGCTAGCGATTTCAGGGGATATTGAGCACGGCGTGTCCACTCGTCATACGGTGTGGATGAATGACCGAGCGCCTTCATCTAGGTGAGTCCATCAAAACTAATATTTTCGGTATCCAGTGTCGAAGACTTAAAAAGATATTTCTTCTGGGGATTTGTTCACCGCTACGGCCTATTTGGCTACTTGGTCTGTAGAGCTTCAATAAGGAGACACCATATATACCTTGAGGTATTATCTGGTAAATGGATCTTTAATCAACCCAATTTCATGCTCAAAGGGGGTTTTGGGTCCTGTGGTTTCACACCTCATGACTCTATGAAGGACGAATTACATGTCATTATGATAAACTTTCGGTTTCACAACTACTCATTTGGAGAATGGATTTTCCTTTACGACATTATGTTGTTTTTTATTCTTAGTTTATATACACTAGTCAGACTAGTCAGATGTTCATTACGTGTCAATCCAGAAAACGTATACAACTTGTGTATGGAAGATCTAACCTAAACACACTTAAATGAAAACCTAGCCGACAATCCCAAGCAACCAATAAAGTGGAAAATGAGTTGGAAAATAAAGGGTAAACGGGAAAAAATGTCTGCTTTTTCGCCTGTCCGGGGGAAATAATGCGGATTTCCCCCTTTTGTCTCTCTGTAGGCGAAATTGTCTACTTTTCGCCTAAATATCCACTGAATTGTCTACTTTTGCTACAACTTTTAAAACACCATTAGCATAACCATAGCCTTCATCTCCACATTAAACCACATCAAAACTACAATCCATGAAAAAAGGTTTATGTTTAAATAAACTTATCGAAAACGAAAAGCAGAAGCTTGGGCATCAGTCGTTATGCATTTTCATAGTAATTGCCAATTCATTGTTATTTGAAAAGATCTGCAAAAGAAGAAACAGGTAAGCTCATTTACAAAATAAATTTTGTTGAAAAGTAAGTAGTACATAAAAAACATTTCGCGGATTACTTCCTTTAGCCACGCATGATCAGCTATTGAGAATCGAAATAGTCTTCCTGTGAATTCTGAAGTGTAAAGAACGAGAGAAGCTACAACGATATCTGAATGACATGCTTTGGCTTAGCCAGATACTTGAAGCTTCACTTACGGTTATGCTAGTTAACACTGTTGACTGTAACTATATAGCAGTAGGGAAGTTATCACTTTAAATTTGGACGTACCTGTTCTTGTTTCCTCCTATTACGCTTTATCAATTTGTCTCGGACGTCGCGAAAAAAACATTGTGTCGCTATGTCGTACAGCTTAGCAAGGTCTTTTTCGTTTACAGAGGATGACAGGGAGCGATTTGTTAAGGTACCTGAAGTTTAAATAATAGATATACGTTGCTTCGTATGCAGCCATAAAACCGGCATTTCTGAATTGCTCGTTTTAAAGTAGTGCCAAGTAACGTGAAATTACTGGCAACCTCAGGTGTCATGAGGTACGACAAAACATATCGCATCGAGGTTTTCGGATCATTATCTATTAACCTCGTTACCGTGGCCATCTGTAATACGAATAATCTATAAAAGTTAATGTTGTTGACTTACAAATCTATCCCTGGTTTCTTTCTGCTGCAGATCAGTGTCCAGCGTCTGCAGTTCCACTTCAGATGACAAAGGGAACTGCCGACTTGATAGTCCGCAATTGAATTGATGCGAATGTTCGCGTTCACTGAACTTTGCTAGTAGCAGCTCTACATTTGTACTCAAGTCAGTAATAGCTGAAAACATGTTCTGCATTATTGTATACAACCTATCAAATCTGAAAAACTTCACTTAATCGTACAGGAGACTTACTGGGCCGCTGAAGCACAGCCTACATGCTTAGATTCTAATGTTGAAAGTGATGCATCTAATTGTGTCTTCAGGACACTTCTGATGCTCCTCGATAAGTCCGGTACAAGAACTCGGAAACCATTCAGAATCCGATCAGCATCTCTGGCGCTCAGAGAGGTTGTTGTAAGTAAATTCATCAGTAGATCGTTGATATGCTCCTTATGATTTACTAAATTCCGAGAGCACAAATTAACGCCATTACATCCTATAAGAAATATATTAACGTATTCATTTCATATACATACCATTATTATCGAGAAGCCTTTGATTGCTGTAGCTAGTGGATGACGTGACAGTTGAAGGACTCTCATTACAGTTAGTTTCTCTCTCGACTGCTATCAACTTAACATAAACCACTGTCAAAGTCAGTTACCTTTGATTGTGCTTTCATTACCAAACTGACTAAACGAAAGCAAGTTATGTTTTTTCATGAGTGCTATACGTAATTTATTCCACCGTCTATTATAAGTCGATCTATGACAGCCAGGGACGCTTGACAAGTTAATAGTGGCCCTACGTCTACGAGCTCTCTGTGACTTCAATTGAACATGGTAATATGTAAAATGAACATTAAAAACGAAGAGCACGCCACTCACATGCATCACGTTAGCTATTTGTGATGCCTACCAAGTATAACAGAACAATTTAGCTTAACAAAAGACGAAGTCAGTGTATGTGTGTCTCAGCCAAATCCCTGTGTCCGCATTTTGTTACTAGTGTTTATGACAATAGTTTTTTTATTAAGCAGTGCCTTATTGTATCGACGTTTATGAAAACATCAGTACGGGATGCGGCATATTCAAACACAGTACGTAACGTATGATTGTTGACGAATATCCCCCGAATACACGATGTGAGCGGGAAAAATAGACATTTCCCCAAAATAACCGACGTAAAGCGACATTTCCCCTTTATTTTCGCTTTCGTCCGCTTCATTTCCCCTTAGTTCGCCTTTATTTCCCCTATATTGGTTGCTTGGGGATTCTGAGGAAATATTGTGGAATTCCCCAAAACAGGTAAAATGTTCCCAAAAGTTGGGAAATTGGTAATACTCTCTTACCGATAACTTCATATCTGCAGAAAATGTTGCGAGCCAGACACTTTTCGTAAATGTCGTTCACATTTGTTAGGAAGGCCATTTCGCTGGCTAGTCTATTGCTACGGTAATATGTCATTGACTTATATATATATATATATATATATATATATATATATATATATATATAAGCAGAAGTCAGGCTATCACCATTTTCCAGAGTTTTTGCGCATACATTTTCATTGCTTGTGAATTCTCGTTTGCATCCTCTGTTACTAGTAACAACTTACGATGGAAGCTTCCATCGTATATTTAAGCGTAAGTTGTAGAATCCATGATTTTCTGGTATTTTGGATGTAAATACATGTTAAGCGTCTTACCATTTACCGATGTTGGTTCATGTACTCGTCATTGCCGACCTCATTATAAATGCTATAATAAGTCCTAAAATTGATACTATATTTATCCATCAATCATGTGGTCTAGATCATATCAATTGTAATCCTAAGTAGTTTTATTTCAGAAGCTAGTCCCAAACTTTACGATCTTGTGAGGCCTCCACGATCTACACTGTCCTGGAAAAAAACACGTTATTTCTCTGTGTTTTCATTAGAATTCTTTGAGTTCTTGTAGGTTTTTCCACTATTAATTTCTTTAATTGCTTAGAAAGGCGAGGGATGGTTTTTAGTGGTTACTGACTGCGTACTCATAAAGAGCATTTGATGAAACCATAATTTATGAACGCACTTTAAGCGACGCCAAAGTGACTTTGAGAGTATCTACCTACCTACTAAGGCTAAGTGAGGGTTGTAAAGCAGTTTGAAGAATAAGAATTATGATTCACAGTTGATGGCTAGGGTTAGGAATTAGACTTACGGTTTTTCATCACGAGCTGACATCAGCTAAAATTCCCAGACGCTATTTGGTCAAATGGGTGAGTAAATTTCACTCCAAAATCCAATACCTGTTATCTTAAATCTTATTGGTTCGTCCATGAATTATAATCTTGCCAAGTATTTTTTGCAGCTACTGTGTTCTGAATTAAAGGTGCAGAACTAATTTGAACTCACCCATTTAGTGTAAACTAAGGACTAAAACTGTGGTCGATGAAATGCCAACAATAATATGAAAACCGTAATGGATATTTGCCATCTTGCCGTACCTACCGTCATTCAACTAAATATGTGCTAATCGGATATGTGTTTTGGTACTTACTTTTGTTCTACCATTAGGCTGGGAATAACGACAAGCATGGAAGTATTTTAATATGGTAAAGTGAATGAATGTTTGCGTGTCATTAGATGTAAGAATCCTAAAAGAAAGATTTTAAAACGCAGAGGCATGTTAGAGAATTAATATCGTTGTCAAAGTTACTTAATAACAATTAACTTTTTACCACTTTATAATATCTCCATGCTTGTTGTCGTTATTGTACTAGCCTTCACTAATACAGAATAATGTACGTTAGTTACTAATAATTTTTACTGTCCTCCGTAGGTTGCAAGCTGCTGACGAGAATCCACGAAGTAAATGAACTCACCTTTGCTACTCTTGTTGTTCTTGCTTGGTTCAAATTTCCCAATGCGAAGAATTGTATGAAGAAATTAACAAGTTGAAAGTCGGGAAAATGTAATAGTAATGGTTTTTCGTTACTTTCTTTTTCTTCTTGTAATTATAGAAAAATTAAAAACGAAAACGTATCTTTTATTGACATTCTTTTGGACGAAAACGCAAGGCGTATCTTTCCCTACTGTTACTTAAAGTATATAATGTTGGGTTCGATTAAGGACAAATATGAAACGATTTCCTGTCTGATTTTATGGAATTTTCAGGTAGGAGTAAAATAAAGAAACCCCAGTACAAGAGTAACAATAACTTAGAACGTAGGAGGGATGGGTATATGTTCAAGTTACCGCACTTTCTGGTTTCTTTTGTGATTACTCTTGATTTCTTTTGATCGCACCATTTTGAAATGTAGCAACTTATTATATTTATGTCATTGTTTTATGAAGTACAGGTTTGGGTACTTAATTATCAGAGACTGTACGCTTATTGTACTACCTGGGTTACCCAAAATATGGTAGTTGAAGTGGTGTTCAAACCTGGAGCTCATCAGTTCTAAGTACTTTAACCATTAAACCACCACTCTACATTAGCATTTTGAATCAGTTCATGGTTTTGATTAGTTTTGTTTTGTTTAATTCAACCGGTATTACGTCTTTCACTGTGAAATAGTATGCATTTTTATCTTCTGAAAATTCTTGCACCTAGTCATGACTCTTCTCCTACTTTCCTTGGGATATTTTAATGTTGAGTAGTAATACTCTTTAATGTTTCAGATAATGGCGTTGTCAACATATCAGTCAGTCAGTAACAACGTAGAACTTCGTACGTACGTACATTACTTCGAGTTGCCATACCACATTGGTACAGAGATGCAGTTGTCGATCCAAATCCTGTAGTTGGTAGAGGTGGTAAGAGTATAAGCAGTAATCGGAAAGACTAGGATTTGAAGATGTTATTCAAGGAGTATAATAGTGAAATAAATTTGGAAAGAAGGAAGGGACATGATAAATTCCGAAGATTAGAATTTGGGAGAACACAAAGAGTGGGTGCACCTGGGCCATTGCAAACGATTTTGAGCCATGTCATTCAGGGTCTCTAACCATCGGCTGCTATCATCTCGCGGTCCCCAACCAGGTAGTCTACACCTACTAACATGGCTCAGTCTACTTGTCAGTGACTTCATGGATTTGTGCCATGTTTTGGTCTGGTCGCTCCTAGCTTTCTCCCAACCTACTCCTACACCATAAAACATCGCTCGTCGAGGTAGTCGGTGGTTGGGCATACGTAACACATGTCCTAACCGTCCCAACTGATGAAGTTTCACTACTTCATCAATTTATTTGCCATCCTTACCTAGTACCCGTTTCCTAACAACTGCATTACTTACTTACTCGATGGTCCCAGGATATACGAGAAATGTTTCGAAGACATCTATGATCAAATACTAGTAACCTACGAATATCCTTTACTGTTGCCGGCCATGTTTCACTGCCATAAATTAGGACGGAACGAACTGCTGTGCAGTAAACACATCCTTTGGTTGATAGACAGATATCTCGCCTACTCCATAAATGACGCAAGTTGGCAAAAACTAGTCGAGCCTTCTGTATCCGTGCTGAGATTTCGTCACACACCAGACCACAAGGGCTAATGAGACTTCCAAGATAAGTGAAGCGATCGACACGCTCAACTACTTCACTCCCTACAATTAGTTCGGGTGTCGATGCAACCCAATCCTGAAGCAACATTTTGCATTTCGGTGGGGAGAATCTCATCCCAAACATGCTTGTATTGTTGCCTAGAATGGTCAGAAGACTCTGGATTTTGTCAGCGTCTTCATTAAATGGAACTATGTCATCGGCATATTCTATGTCAAAAAGTGAATCTTCCGGTAGAAATTCAACCCCTGGAAATTTAGATGAAGAAAGTGTTAGCTCTGAAAGCACGTCAACGACAAAGTTAAACAAGAATGGAGAGAGTGGACAGCCCTGACGAACACCACTTGTGGTAATCAATTCTGATGACAGTTCGCCATAAGCTCTCACTCGGCCAGTTGTGTTCGAGTAGAGAGCCTTTATAAGGTTAACGTACTTCTTTGGTACTCCTTTCAGTGACAAACACTGCCATGGAACCTTACGATCAACAGAGTCGAATGCTGCCTTAAGGTCGAGAAATACTACGATTGTAGGGCGTCTGAATGTGTGTCTGTGTTCTAGAACCTGACGTATTGTCAATATCTGGTCTATACAACCACGTCCAGGTCGAAAACCAGCCTGATTTTCTCTAGTCTGCTCTTCACGAGCTTTGGTTATTTATTTATTTGAACACATGAATATTGGTACAAGAGAGCGCCAATATATATGCGCCACACAAAACAATGAGAATTCGAAGAGAAGTAAAAAAAACTAAGGAGCGCAAAAGAAAAAGAGAACAATGACGAAGAGATTGGTGTAAGGTAGTGTAGTAGTAATGAGGGAACGGAAAGGTACAATCAGAAGAAATCTTTCAGGTAAAGGAGACACAACCACTTTTTATGAAGAAAGTAAAAGAAGGTTACAGCAGGATCGCCACTGGATTCTATTCTGAGCCATATCTGATAACGTCTCTAGCCACTGTGTAGCACCATCTCTCAGACCCCAACCAGGGAGTCGTGAAGGACCAACACAAGCCAGTCCTTTGCAGCTTTCTTTCATACCACGACACCATGTCATGCACTGACCACCTCTCCGCTTCTTCCAACCAGTCCCAGAGTCGGCAAATAATGCACGACGTGGAATTCTCTGGGACGACATTCGGAGAACATGTCCAAGCCACCGAAGTCGGTGTTTCAAGATGATGGCACCAATTGAATTATCATCTCTGTGCCCGAACACACGATGCCGAACCTCTGCATTACTGACATGGTGTTGCCACTGAATGTCAGCAATCCTTCGGAGACAGCGATGATCGAACACAGAGAGTCGTCTAACGTCCTCAACTCAGAGAGACCAGGTTTCACAAGCATAGAGCAAAACTGCTCTCACCGACGCGTTGTAGATCCGACCTTTTACAGCCAGACTAACATCACGAAGGCGCCAAAGGTGGCCCAGATTGGCATAAGCCGCTCTGGCTTTCACTATTCGTGCATTGATCTCATCACTCACACCCCCACCAGCACTTATGCAGCTACCCAGATACACGAACTTCTCGACTACTTCTATCTGCTCACCATCCAGGGTGAGTACAGGATTGGAATCCTGCCAGTCTTGTAGAAGTACTTTGCACTTCGAAGGTGCAAAGCACATACCATACCTACGGACACTGATTGCCGACTGATTAAGTGCGGATTGCATGCCTTGGGCATTATCGCACAGTAAGACAATATCGTCCGCATACTCAAGGTCGAGAAGTCTTTCTCCAGGCAACAGATCCACACCACCATTACTTACATCCATCAGAGCTGTTTCCAGAATGTCATCGATGGCAAAGTTGAAGAGGAATGGTGAGATTGGGCAACCCTGCCTAAACCCACTGCTCGAATGGAACAATGGAGAGAGGTGGTTGTATGCCCTCACTCTGCCTGAGGTGTTTGTATATAGGGCTTTTAGGATGTTAATAAACTTCTCAGGCACACCCTTCTTCAATAGACAATCCAAGAGAACAGTCCTGTCCAACGAATCGAAGGCAGCCCTGATGTCAAGAAACACTACGATTGTTGGCCTTTGAAAAGTATGGCGATGTTCTAACATTTGGCGGAGGGTGAAGATATGATCAATACATCCTCGACCAGAACGAAACCCAGCCTGCTCCTCGCGAGTCAATCTTTCTCGGGTTTTGAACAACCTACGAAGTATGACGGAAGCCAATAGCTTGGACGCAATCGGAAGTAGACTTATCCCCCGATGGTTGTTACAGGAACGACGTGAACCCTTTTTAAAGATAGGGACAACTATCGACTCATTCCATGACGTTGGTACACTCTCTAGTTCCCAAACCTTTGTAAACAACGTCGTCAATTCCTTAGTCAAAAAGTCACCACCATGTTTAAAAAGAGCCGGAGGTAAGTCATCTGGGCCAGGTGATTTGTAACGCTTCAAGAGTTGGAGTTCCTTGCGGACTTCCTCCTCATTTGGTGGATCAGTCGTCACCGGCCATGGAGGGCAGGACAGTCTGACCGATGTTGCCGGAGCAGCAGGCCAGTTGAACTGCCCTTCGAAAAATTCTGCCCATCGTCCAAGACGTCGATGGATGTTAGTGATTGGGATCCCATCATCCTCGCAGATTGTTTCGCTCACACCAGACTTCTTGCTGCCAGTGGCTCGGATGAGTTGGAAGAGCTTCCGGTAGTTACCAGATGCAGCTGCTGCTTCCAGCTTATTAGCACGCTTCGACCATCAGGCTTCTCGGTCGTTACGCAAGCTTTGCCCAATTTCATTACGTAATATCCTTCGTTTATGGTCAAACTCACGGTCACCCGGAGTAGACCTACGGGCTTCAATGAGTTGTAAGGAACCAGAAGAAACCCAGTGCTTAAAAGCGGGACGTTTCGCAAACCCACAACTGACTGTTCCCGCCATTTTCATGGCGTCATGCAATTGCAACCAATGCTCATCTATACTTTTCGGTGGAGTGGTAGCTAGCCTAGAGGCTAGCTCGGTTCGATACTTACTTGCAACAGAAGTTGCAACCAGCTTGCTAACATCAATCTTTTGGCGGTGGTCACTTCGTTGTCCACTGAAAAGTAAGGCAAGATTTGCGCAGACCAAGGCATGGTCAGAGTCCAGATAGGTGTTGAAGTATTATTGAAGCTAATATTTTAGACACTATATTTGTCAAACTGATTCCTCTGTGATTGTCACAAGAGGACTTTTGTCCTTTCTTATAGACTGGCACAATCAGTGATTGAGACCAGTCAGATGGGATTACGTCCAGTTCCCAAATTCTACCTAAGACCTCAGTTAATCTCACTGGTAATACTGAACCATCATCCTTAAAAATCTCAGGAGTAAACCTGTCAGGGCCTGCTGCTCTCCCTCGTTTCAGATTTCCTATGGCTTTTTCAACTTCGTAAAGGGACGGAGGACTTACATTAACTTGCCATTCAGGTTGACTGGAGATCGTGGGAAACCGAAGTGTGGCTGTAGGCCAGTTGAACTGATCCCTACAGTGCTCTGCCCATCGATCCAATCTCCTGGATTGAGAATGTATAATATATCCATCTTTCTCTGAGAGTGTTTCGCTAACAGTCGGTTTCCTAATACCGGTTTCCTTAACAAGTCTGAACAATTGTCTGCTATTACCTATTGCCGCTGCCTTTTCCATCTCTCTTGATTTCGCTACCCACCACTGTTCACGATCATTGCTTAGACTTCTTGTCAGCCTGTGCTTAAGCAGACTCCGCTCTTCGTTATGTTCAGAGCCAGGTGGAATGAGTTTCCGAGCATCTATCAGTGCGATAGATGCTTCTGAAATCCAGTGTTTCTCCCTAACCTTGTGGTTTACCTCACTAGAAGATATCACTGCTGTTTCCACAGCTTTTCGGATATCATTCCATGCTGCCTCGGGGTGGGCATCACATACATGGCTGCCTAACTGTTTTTCTAGTTGTTCCTGAAATATACTCTTAGCTTGACTATCAATTAATTGGCCCCTAAGAGGTTTCCTTGTAGCGTCTTTCCTAAGTCCAGTAAGACGCAGGCAAATACGCGCTCGTACCAGAGCATGATGTGAATCTAAGCATGTGCTCCAGAATGAGCGACAGTCTTCTATCGAGCCCCTCCATCGGTGGCTGATAGCGATGTGATCTATTTGGGTCCAACGTTGGGACGAATTAGGAGGTCGCCATGTTAAAAGATGTTTTTGCTTATGCTCAAAGTTAGTATTTGCAAGAAAGAGGCGGTTATCTGAACATAGCTGCAATGGACGGTCGCCATTATCTGTTCTTTGAGCCACGACACTATAAGATCCACCCAGGAGTCTTTCCCTTAGCATTAAAGTTACCAGCCACTATTACTACATCAGAACGCCTAGATTTTCGGAGAAGGTCGGAAAACTTTCTGCAAATCTCATCCTTTACATCATCTGTTCTGCAGTCAGTGGGAGAATAAGCATAGACGACGAAGAGGCAACGACGAGTGTCCCTATCTTTCCGAGTCCTTATTGTTCCGTTCAGTCGGACAGCGCACAAACGACTGTCTACTGGGATCCAGTCTAAGAGAGCTAGTTCTGAATGTGACCAACTTGGTCTCGTGTGCTGTTACAGGTATGTGGGGCGACATCACTTCCCGGCTGCCCACACCGTAGAAAAGTATTTCTTGAGGAACCTGAAAAAGAAATCGGATTAGTGTTGGTCTTGACGACCTGGGAGCGCGACCCCAGAGCCCAAGGGATAACTGCTTGATGCCGGCCATTTTGTGGGAAGTTTTTAACGTGTTAGCTCCGTTCTTCAAATGGCCTTACCACCGGAGACGGAAATCCGTGGGGTAAGGTGGTGTGACATTTTTAAGGTCAGCCTTTTCTAACCCCTTCCTTCCTTGTGAGAAGGCAGCATCGCTGCAGATGCTGGTTGTCCGAGGAAGACTTCTTACTGCTGTCACACCCCTCCACAAACAGCAGTACGACGTCGCCCTCAGACCTTGAGTTGTTGCTTTTAGTCTTACCGTTCTCCAATCGACCTGCCTGGCATGGTAGGACCTACAGGAACATATATTCCAGCCAGTATAGCTCGCTTGGGTCATCACGATAGGCAAGCCCGACCACCGCGTCAAGGTAGCAGCTACGGTCGGGTGAATATTCCGTTCTGTTTGCGATATGTTATTTCACACATTTATTTCTACATTACTGATTTACATTTATCTAAGTGCTTTGTGAATATTCGTCCAAGTTAAAGATGTTTTTCGTTTTGAGCTGAAAACCACAAAACAGTAGTCAGTTATAGAGATCGTATGGTCCGCTTCAAATATGTACTGGTCAACTTTGCCAAATCCAGGAATTTTATTTCAGGTTTATAACTTATCATCAGTACTCACTTGTGATCGCATATGGGATCCAACTTAAAACCTTCAGGTTTTGTGGAAAAGGCAATACTTTTAGCGTACTGAGTTGAAGTTTGGTGGTTCACACTTTGAAACTCGTTCAGTTTACAATATGACTGGATCACCACCTAGTTTAATCAATAATTGTCCCTTCAAATTGATTGTTTGTTATAAATTACTTATTCAAATCAAGTATAAGTTAAATACAGTTTGTTCAGTATTTATTTTGTTACCTTCCGTATATCGTTCTTTTAAAACGCCATTCTTAGTTGCAAACTAAATTTCCAAAAGATTTAAGTACATCTGAGTGGTAATCATTTATATTGTATCCAAATCTGATTTATGCTAACTAAATTTAACAGTTTTGCGTTTATTTTTTCTGTGTATTATCTTCACAGATCTCATTATTTGGTTAGTTACATATGTCATCAAAGAAACCACCCAAAGCATTGTACGTTCCACCAGCTTTAAGAGCAAACAAAAATGCGAGCGAAGTCAAAAAAGAGTTATCCTTTTTAGAATCTCCAATATCATATGCTTCTGTGAATGAACAAACTGATGTAGAACAACAATTAAAATCACTTACACTTTCTGACAACTGTATTGATGATGACGAATGTGTATTCAAAAAAAAACTTTTTAATCAAAAGCTGTCACATAATGATAGCAACAGTGAACCAGTCATAAGGTTGAAAGATTTCCAACATATTTTAGAGTTATATAACTTTTCAAAAGACTTTCAAAATTTTCACTTGGAAGCGGAACTCACAGGGTTTGAGGATAGTGGATTTTACCTTAAATGGGTCGATGATACTCATTGTTTAGCTGTATTTTCTTCAAATGATGAAGCGAATCGTGCATTGGCTCAAATATCAGGACTTTTCATGAAGGTATACCCTTCTTTACTAACTACCTTTTTTGTATTTAAAGCTACCAATTTTTTAGGTGTTTCTTAATGAACGTTTGTTTGAGTTTATCTCTTTGTAATGAGGTTTAAGTAGCCTCAGCAGCAGTAGGTCTTAACATACACAAAGGGAAAAGCAAAATTCTCCGATACAACACGACATGCAACAACCGAGTCACACTTGACGGAGAAGATTTGGAAGATGTAAAAACCTTTACACATTTGGGTAGCATCATCGATGAACACGGTGGATCTGATGCAGATGTGAAGGCGCGGATCGGCAAAGCAAGAGCAGCATATTTACAACTTAGAAACATCTGGGGCTCAAAGCAACTGTCAACCAACACCAAGGTCATGATTTTCAATACAAATGTCAAGACAGTTCTACTGTATGGGGCAGAAACCTGGAGAACTACGAAAGCCATCATCCAGAAAATACAGGTATTTATTAAAAGTTGTCTACGCAAAATACTTCAGATCCGTTGGCCGGACACTATTAGCAACAACCTACTATGGGAGAGAACAAACCAGATCACAGCGGAGGAAGAAATCAGGAAGAAGCGCTGGAAGTGGATAGGACACACATTGAAGAAAGCACCCAACTGCGTCACAAGACAAGCCCTCACATGGAATCCTGAAGGCCAAAGGAAAAGAGGAAGACCAAAGAACACACTACGCCGGGAAATGGAAATAGACATGAGAAAAATGAACAAGAATTGGATGGAACTAGAAAAGAAGGCGGAGGACAGAGTGGGTTGGAGAATGCTGGTCTGCGGCCTATGCTCCATTCGGAGTAACAGGCGTAAGTTAAAAGTAAAAAATGTGGTTTAGGTATTATAATAAAAGCTACAAAGAAATCTTGAAAATAAGTTTTCTGTTAGTTAGACTGCACATATTTTGCTAACCGATAACAGAATCATATTTTAGGATTTTTAATACTAATTATGGGTAGATAAAGTTGGTGCAATTCAACAACCAATTACAATATCATGTACTAGGTTTTTGTTATGGATTGCTTATCTCAGATAGCACAATTAAGAAATCGTTCTTAAGATTCACTTATGGATTAAAGTAAACTCGGTTCACCAACTTTCAACGTGTTTCAATCAGTATCGATCTATTCAGCACAAATTTATTTTATTTTTAATACATCTTCATTTTTAGTGTAGGGGGCTTTTAGGTATTACTGAATTTTCAGTGTACATTATTGTATTCAGCGATCGCTCAATCTGATAAATCTTGTAATTAATAATAGTTAAATATTTGATGTGAAGTTTACGTAAACTGGGACGTAAATTATTCTCTAGTATCTACCAAGAAAAACTTTTGTACAAGATTTCGTTTATCCATTGCAGTCTCTCTGAGGGTAATCGTTAATGTGTTGTGTATTATTCGTCCGGTATAGATCCCGGTTCCTATTAGAAGACTCTCAGTTGTTCATAATTTCGAAATTTGGAACTCAATCTTAATTCAAAATATCAAGTAATATGAATTTTACAAATATTTTAACAAATTAATTTCATCTTTAGGCTCGTAAAATTAATGACGCTTCTTTGGCTAGCAAGTTGAAGATTGCTCGTTCACCTGGTGACTGGACTATGCCCTATAAAAAACGACCAGTTACGACTAGCTCAACAGCTCGAAGATTAATTTCCAATCATTTGGGTATTGTTCCTACTAAAATCAAATCTCCTGAGGAAACTATGAAAGAGGAACAAGATAAAGCTCTTTTACGAGAAGCACGTGGTAAATTATATAAGTGTTTTCCATATTGTTTCTTTTGTTTACTTTTCATGACACCACTAGTTTTCAGAACATTATCCAATGATGTTTTAAATTTGGTGTTACACTTTACAAGTAATCTTATATTTCTGTGTTAAACGGTCTTATTCAATTATGGATTGGAATGCTTATTTTTGTTTCCGTTTAGAACTCGATTAAGATTTGTTAATTATTCAAGTAAATGTACTAAAGTTTTTATGTCGAAATCAATTATGTTAACATAGGAAGGAACCAACTTGCCCACATCAATTACCCCTTATTAATAATAAGCCCGCAAGGGAAAATGTATTGCCTAAATTCTATGCTTCCAATTAAAACTGTATGGAATGATTTTTTAGATTTTTAAATTATTCTTATTTGCCTTTAATTTTTAAGCTTTTGTATTTAAGGAAGATATCAAATGCCCATTTTCCGTCATCCTTTTTTATTATTATGTACATGTATACTTTCAGTAGGATATAATTAGCTTTAGTTGAGCACTTTTAAATACATGTAGTTATAAACCTGTGTTAGTGATTGGTTTATGATATACATTAAAAAGTGAGTCGGTCTTTTTAGTCACTGTTTATTTTTATTTCGGTTGGTTTGGAAATAGGACTTCGAAAATCTACTTTTTATTTTCCATCAGTGTATACTTAATGGTGTATTCATGTGTTTAAATTGAGTTTTATGATGGTTTAATAGTTTTATTACATATGTAAGGCTATGTTATCTTCAACAGGAAGATTGCAAAATGTTACTTAAAACTAGTCACCAATTTCTTCACGGTTTGTAGATTACCCTTGATAATCAGTCCAGAAATTGGTGAAATCTAGGTTCAAGGGTTTTATTTGTTGTTAGAAGCTAATAATTATTTAACACCGAATAACAGAAAATTATAAGGTCAATATCCATATACATCTCTTTGGTATAATCCCACACATTAGTTGTTCGATTTGAGAAGTTGAATATAACATTTGTTTTTATATTATTAACTATTTCGTGTATATTACGAAATAGAGAATGTTAATTACCAACATTTTATCGCTGGTTAGTCATTCTGATCTAATCCCACTTGGAAATCCCAGTTAGGAGTCATGTGAAGAAAGACAGCATTTGATTAATAAATCTCAATCGTTCACTTGTTAGATAAGCATGTAAAATACTCTCCATGTAGTTTTATTAAGTAGTGAATGAAACTTTCAAATTTCAATAATCTAACAAATAATTAGCGTTATTTCTTGCACGTGATTTGCTGTTATTATTTATTGATTTTATTTTCAGTCGTTCGTCAAATGAATCAATAATTTCATTTCTTCAAGAGTTGATCATTACACCAGTTTAACTAATTCTAGTGTTCGTGCAGATATACGTATATTCTTATCATATGTAATGATGTTTTCTAAGGTGTATTTTATTTGATAACTACTAACTTTTTTCTTATATTTCAGCTCGTGCGGAAGCTATTCGTCAGGCACAGAAATCTCTATGGGAAGACGAATAATGTGACAATTACAATTATGTTTTAGAATTATTCCTGTAAAAAGAGTGACTTTTTTGCCTTTGGAATCCTTTTTATTTATAGTGAGAAAAAATATCTTTGCATTTGACCAAAAATTCATATCATAATCATTAGTTAGTATCATGAGTAATATCTAAATTATATTTTTTCCAACACTGACTTGTTAATTTTTCATCTTTCTACTCTGTCTATCTGTTTACATGCGAACACTTTATGCCTTTTCGCTTGTGTAGTGTAAATTGAATATATCATCATGTGTATCTATTTGACATGCTTCTTGTTACTTTTGCAAATCATCTAATTGTATTTTTAATATGTTTCTTTCTTGTTCTATATATGCGTTTATTGTAATTTGTTATTTTCTGGTGTTAAGTATGCTTTTTTTATTTCACTAGGCTTCGGATTGTATTTTTTTCGGTTTATATTGATCTTAGAAACATAAAAAATACGACAGGGCGTTGTCATTTTTGCTTTGAATATTTCTGCTGGTTGGAAAAGAGCTAGGGATAAGCAGTCAGTCATGCCATCTACAATGTAGGGAACAATTTCCTACAGGTTTAATTCTGAGCTATTCTCTAGACCGTCGAATACAGAGTCTTGGTTTGGCCAAAGTCAGAACAAGCAAACTATTTGGCTAGATAAACTTTATCTGTTTCGAACAGTAGCCAGAGGATAGGAAAAATGAGTCAACAAGCAAATATTGTTTTACAATGAACATCAAACTGTGATTGGTTAATAAAGAGATACAGTAGTACAAGGTCAAAGGGAGTTAATGTGGTGGTGGGCATTTCCCTTTATTATTGGTGAGTTCGTCTATCGATCACATTTTACATACAACGTAAGACCAGGCACATATGTGCATCGATCCAAGTTGCCATACCTCATTAGCACAACAAGATGAACACCAAATTCATAGAATTAGTTACTCCAGTGGTAGTTAAAAAAACATTTCATATAGAGATGTGATACATGGAGAAAAAATTAGTTCGTACAAATAAAAATATAAAGTAATTATAATCTCACGGTTTAAGGGAAGACAAAGAGTGTATACGCATACGCCATTGTGATTGATTCTGAACCATATCACCCAGAGTCTCCAACCATTGGTTACGATAGTCACGCGGACCCCAACCAAGTAGTCTGCATCTACCAACATGGCCCAGACTAGAAGTTAGTGACTTCAAGCACTGATGCCACGTTTTGGTTTGGCCTCCCCTAACTTTCTTCCAACCATCTCCAACACTAGTCAGCATTTCGCGTCGTGGTAATCGGTGTTTAAGCATACGTAACACGTGGCCCAACCATCTCAGTCGGTGAAGATTCACAACCTCGTTAACTGATTTACCGTCATTCCCTAACACCCTGCGTCTAACTTCAATATTACGTACCCGGTGATCCCAACAGGTGCGAGCAATATTTCTAAGACATTTGTGATCAAATACTAGTATCCTCTACTCCTAATAGCCACGTTTCGCAGTTGTAAAGTAAAACAGAAAGGATTGTTGCCCTTTAATTGATAGACGGATATCTCACCTTCGCTATAGGTGACGTAGCTTTTCAAAATCCAAATGAACTTTTTGAATGCGTGCAGAGATTTCATCAGACACCAACCCATTACTACTGATCAGACTTCCAAGTGAAGTTGTTGATGCGTTCTACTACTTCACTTCCTATCCTTATTTCAGTCGTTGACGCAGACCACTTCTGAAGCGACTGTTTACATCTAGAAGGGATAGAAACGCATCTCAAACATCCTGGCATTGCTGTTCAGTGCTACCAAAAGACTGCATTTCATGTGTGCATTCTAAGTCAATAAGTGGACCGCCTGGAAGGCGGTGGATTCCAGAAAATTTAATAGGTCCACGATGAAATTGAACAAAAGCGGAGATAGTAAATATTCTGTATGGGCGTTTATAGTTAAGTACGGACTGACTGAAATGAAATATTGTCAAATATTTCTATCTTCGAACATTAGTATGTGATGAAATCTACCGTAACAATGAGAAGTCTATTTAAGCTACTTGGATAAGTATTAAGTAGTACATTGACACCCCAAGTAATTATTCAAGCACGTTGAACAAATACCACTAAAAAATTATCTACTTTTTTAGTCAAACGAAAATCTATTTAGTAAACATATCAGAATTTTAGATTAACAGCATGAGTACAACTATTCATTAAGATCCAATGCATTAGTGAAGCGACTAGTGAGACAAGACTCCGAATCCATCGTCTCCATGGATAAACGGGTGATGAACGTATTCACTGTTTCCTTGGGGTGCTAAAATACGGCTCATGTCAGAAGCGAATGTCAAATCTCTGTATCTACTTTTCAAGTTTACAAATTGAAGGTGGTAATTTTCAACATTACGAGTAGTTTTAGAATTCAGTTAATCTGTCTCAGAATTATTTGCAATGTCTTATTGTTTGTAGTTTTCTCCATGTACATACTACTGGAAAAAAAACTACCCTAAATTTACAGTGTTTGCAATTTAAGTTGTTAAATAGCTGTAGCTAAACTGCTATTTAAAACCAGGATCCACCAAACAATTGTGTTGTCCTAGTATATAGCTCTATAGTTTTATTCCAATTAACTCCTAACAATTAAAATCATATTATCTTCACCGATCTTCTTTAATGATCATAATATCATCTCACTGACAAATACTTAAGATCAATTACTTACAGATTTCTTCCTTACCTTTAAGAATACATCATATATTATACCGTATTCATCATCTTTTTAAAACTAGTCAAATAAATATCAACTTTATATCATTACTATTTGAATTTAAATGTTTAAGATTATGAAGGAAATCAGATTAGCAAATCACTTGAGATAATATCTTATCAACATATCCAAATAAAAAGACAGATCAAGCAAATGTAAAATCAGTGTAACCTTTTTTATACAAAAAAGGGTAATGCTCGTCTACAATTTGCATATAATTGCAGGAAATCATTATCATTTTTAAACAACAGATTTTAAAGAAGAATAAAAGAAAGAAATTATTATTGCTGCAAACAGATTACCAGTTCAACGAAATTCTTTATCCATCAGGTAAACAGCACTATTATCCAAATGTAGTCGAGCACGCATTTCTCTTAGTTTACTAACAGAATTCACTTGTTCTTGTAGAAAATCGTCCAAAAAATCTTGTGTCTATGTAAATATACAAAATATTTGTAGTAATATTTAATTATTTACTTAACAACTTGTACATAGGAAATAAATCATTCTAAGCTTCAGTGAATTACTTTAACTGATCTGGTTTATTGACATTATGCGATCAGTCATTCTTAACAGTAAAGATAAGTTAACATAAGCAACGTTATTATACCACTGACTACTTAGATTTTGGTAATATTAGACAGAAATTCTTTGACTTAATCACTCCAAGGTCAATATGATTAAAACTAAGTAGGTATGAATATTTTTAGACTTACTATTCTTTGCAATTGAGTGCATAAATATTACTGAAATCTCCTTAACTTTATGATGAAAAATCTAGCCAATATTCCTTATTTCTACCAATTCTTGAACTGGTATATGAATTAACTATCAGAATAGACCATACATTTTGTGTTTATAAATAGGTAGTAGTTTCCTCTATTACTCTCCATTTTTCAATTGATAATAAGGCTCATCTCAAAGTTATTAAGAAAAAACACCCTTGTTTTTATCTTAGGCGAATGAGTAGAATAATTTTGAGTACTTCTAGTGTATTCTGACTCATCACATTCGAGTTCCATATATATATAATGTGGTTTAGAAATGTATACTTTGAGAAAATTGTTTACAATAATGTTTAAACAAATTATTTTGTCATGATGATGAACTTTTGTTGAATAGAGAAAAGATACAATACCTTATACATTGGTGAGAAGAAATCAAACTACATACATCTTATCATAGGATGGTTAAAACCATTCTCATTTTCAATAGGAATTTCAACAAATCCAAGTATAAATCATTAAAATGATCCATAAAATGTCAACGACATACAAATGATTTCTTTCTGTTTTAATAGATATTAAAGTTCAACTAGGGTCTAATGGTTTAAAAATCAATAAATGAAATGTATTTTCAATATCTTATATATTTGTTTATTTAGTTTATTAAACTTAACAGGTGAAAAGTTCATGTTAAATTCATTCAGCAGCGTGCTCTAGTGTGTATTTATATCAGATTATAAGTTGTTCATGATTGACTGATTGGGAAGAGTTATTATTATACGATATTCGAATGTAAATAGACACTAATGAATTGTAGATATTTGGTAACTTTTCAAGGCGAATTCTTCTTAGTGAGTTGATTAATAGTTAGTTATTCAATTATAGACGACGTTAGTGTCTTTAATATTCCCAATGTTACATTGAAAATATGAGTTAAGCGGAGAAATACTAGTTTCTTGGTATAGCTATTCAATAATAAATAGGTTTCACAACTAAGTATTAAGTCACTTAATAAATGGCGTTTGATCAATAAATATATCTCAATATTTTCCCTAAAGACATTAAGCAGTTAGTAACTTAGCTGGTGAGAATTTAAGATGACATTACATAATAGCAAGTAGTTGCGTAAGATCAAAAGCAGGAATTGATTAAGTTGTGAATTAACTAGCTGAATGAAAATGTTTGGTGTTATTTGTAATAACGGTGATGAGTAATTAAAGACAGATGGAAAGGGAATTGGTCAGTCAGATTATCTAAACAGATTGCGTTAGAAAAAGATAAGAAAAAATCCTAATAAATACAATATCATAACGTAACTGATTAGTTTGAAAAGATAGTAATTCAATGTATAAATCGATCGGTTCTGGTTTGAATATCAGTGAGAATTTCATCATTCACCTGGATATCCGTAAAACTCGAATGAAACTGGATACACGGTCCGTATTCAGTTTTTTTTACTACCGATTACTAAACTAATTTTCAATAGCCTTTTACTCATTCTTAGAATATTATCAGGATTATCAGTAGAATTTCAAGGGTATTTTTACTTCCTAACTCATCCAGGTAAAAAAATTGAGACTAATCAGTCTTACCTTTTTTTTATTAAATCTGATATAAATAACATTACCAATGTAAATAGTAAAAGATAACTTTTATTTACCGAATTGAAACCCTATGTCAGTTATTATTGATGTCAAAAAGAAGAACTCTAATAACTTGTACCTTAAGTTATCTTTCAACATCAAAACTGTTAACTTTAAGTCTGATAGAAAAGATGCCATTTTAAACTTTTCAGTTGAAATACAGTGATCGATATATATTTGTATTTTAGAACAAAATTATCAACTTTTAAATAAACAGTTGATCATTCGATGTAGAATGAATAGAATATTTATTGAGAATCTATTAGATTGGAAAATTGTAAGTGAAAGAAGCATAGTCAACAAAAAATGTTATGAAAATTAATAAAATCATCTGAAATAATCAAAACTCACAATCGCATCATTCATCTGCGATGCTAATTTATGCAGTTCATTGATGTGTGCAGTGACTTGAAGTTCTTTTCTAATTGCTGTATCAATTACTTCATGAATATTTTTAAAATCCATTGGTACGCCTGAAGATGCAAGCTAAATTATGAATGGAGTAAAATCAAACAAAAAAAGTGGCATGTAGATTTCTTGGTAAATTTGTAAATTATATAGGTTTTGATATATGTATTACCAGGATTCATATAATGAAGTCCATTATGTCATAGAATACGTTGAAAGCAAGAAATAATATGACATTTTAGCTAATTTCTTGAAAACAATCAAAATGTATTTACCGATCAGTTCATCTAAAAATTTTCAATTACGTAAATAGTTATTGTGATATTTATGCATGAAGTTAAATCAAAGTAGTGACTTATAGCTAACATGAGTAAATTTCATCGAATTCAAGATTATATAAATTAAAAAGGTATATTTTAACCTTTGACTGATTAAATTATGTATTCAAAAATAAATAAACGAATTGAATTTCGGAAAAAGAATACTATTACTGTCATAAACCATTCTTACGTAACAGGGTTAAAAATTATTTGAATCTAAATGTTAGTCATGTGAATAGTTACTACCGACACATGCCTATGATTCAATCAGGATATAATATTCTGTTTGTCGATTGCTTTATCACAATTTCTATGTTTTACAGTAAGAAACTTTTTTTTAATTTAATGAATTTAGTTGGTATTTGTAAAATATTTGTTGCGAAAGGATGTATTCTGAACTGATGTTAAGCAGATTTTTTCGCTATTTGTAAATGCTTCGAGTTGAACAAATGAATGACGTAATATTACTGTCAACAAAATTTTAAATAAATACCGACTAATTAAGTTGAGCTAGTCATCATTAACATATCACAGGGCAGAAACGCATAGAAGTGGAACAAGTCGCGATATCTTAACAACACAATAAGATCAAATTAGGGAAGATCAACAGTTAGGAAGTTAAGGTCATGGTAACATTAATAATAGTAAAAGGGAATAAACATCAACAGAACTGTTACCATTGAACAAATAAAGATAGTGACAGGCAAAGTTATTAGATTTCTAATTTGATTTCAGTTCTACAACAGACTAGTCACTGACTGGATAGCTTGGTGGTGACATTTGACTGGAATACCGAATTAACCGGGTCCCAATCTCATAAGGCATACCGGCTTTTTCAATGGACCTTAATAATAAATACCAACCAGAACAAAACTAGTCCAAGGAGAGCTTCTCACGTTTTGTCTGAGACCACAAAAATACATCGAAACGTTGTGTAACACTATATTCAGTCATTCAGTGACTAAACTGCAACTTGACTGCTAGGATTCGATCAGCACTACTTAGCAAACAAGCGTGATGTTACCTCATATTCGATGATTAGTCAATACAGAAATAATTTTTAACCAAAATTAGTAACTAAAAAAGTGGTCAGTTGTAATTGGTTTCGTCACTACCTTTAAAGAAAATTTGTTCAGCAAGCTTTTGTACTAAGATACTGACTATTTACGTGGTATGTAATATAATAAACTAACATTTATCGTTAAAGTAAAAATTGTGGTTTTTATTTTTCTCATGATAGTTCCATACAAATAAATTTGCAGTGATCTTGATGACTGAGTGTTCCCACTTTCCTTTTTGGTTCATCATGGTACTAATGATTAATACTTAATTGCAAACACTTGTTAGTGGAGTAGTCAGTTGGTAAAGTAGGGAATATGATATAAAGATCACCCATAAAAAAGACTGATAATTATCAATCTCATATTTTTATCATCCGAGTTTTAGTTCTTAATAATTAAAATTATAAAACACTTATAAGGGAATATAGGATAGAATAATAAACCGAATAATGACAGAGTAATAGAGTGTTTAATTTAAACAGAACGAAAAAAGTGTTCGTATTTACTTTAGTTAAATCAAGTTTAAGAAGTATGATTTATTTGTTTAACAAGAATATTTTATATTTAACAAAACAGAATCGAGTTAAACACTTAACAGTTTTTTTATGTATTAGGTTTTTAATATAATCACCTTAGTGACGTTTCTTCGCATTTTACTTCTGCTTTATAGCAAAATTTCGGGATCGTTGAAAATCTAAATCGATCAGACGGTCGTAAACGAAGTAAGCTCTAGCAAAACTAGCCATCAGCTAAAGTTTTAACTCACTTCAATGTGAGCGGTAATTGATAAATTAGATAGAACATGAATTGAAGTAAATAATAATAGTAGTTGAAAAAATCAAAAATAAATAACAAAGCTCAAGAAGAACAAATGATGTCGAGGAATAAAAAGTATGAACTAACAATAAACCTAATAATGTAAATAAATATAAAGAATGAATACATTTGCCTCTCTGTCAGTGATTTTAAACTATGTCATTAACGTTCACACACAGTAGATTATTATAAGTGCTCTATTAAATTTAGCTATGAAGTGTACATATTTTGACATTATTCAAACCAAAAATTATCATTTTTTCTAAACTGAAAATCTCATGTTTTTGGCTTGCTAGAATATATGTATAAATTAAGATATTAAATTTACTTATGAAATGTACTTACTTCATTGACACGATGGTTTTTCTAGAAAGTATTGAAATCCATTTATGTAATGAGGAGCGAAATATTCATTAGTATAGAGAGGAGGAGAGGACAGAAAGGATAATTATTGTAAATAGCTCTATAAGTGAGTAGACAACCTTTAGTGATAATAATCAACTTATATAATATATTTCATATTTTACTTAATTTCAGTGAAGATATCAAATGAACATTGCACACACCAAAAAAGTACATTTTATTCCGTGTGACAATGTGTTATGTGTTTAATTATTTAATAGGCATCTAAACATGACAGAAATTTTAAAATTTAATAAACCTTTTATACCCAATAAATAAAAAGTTTAACTACTTTTATTATTTTTAATACAATTTGAATCAAACTATTTATGTATTGACTGGTTATTGGTAACATTTTTAATGTCCATTAAGTATGCTGTATCGGACATTTATATTTTTAGGGTGAATGCTGCATACCGAAGAATAATTATCACTTGGGCTTTCAAAAGCCCAGAGTTGTCTGTAACTGTGTTCTGTATTTGTCAATTTTGCTAAGCCCAACATACTGGATAAAAAGCATAATGTTTATGTTAATTCGGTATAATTAATGATAGGAATTGAAATGAAATCAATGAAAGTTACTCTCTAATATGCAGTGGCCACACACTAAATGAACAGGAGATGTTCAGAAGTTCTAAATGATGCATACTTACTAAATAATTTGTCCATCACTGGCGGATGCATTAGAATAATGATTTAAACTAGTGTATATGTCTGCTCATTGTCCACCTCTAAAAAAACAAACTAAATTCAATTTCTAAGCAAAGAGGGATAGTGGCTAGCAGTGGAATCCAGGACGCGCATTTCGTCCTGTTTGGGACTCAGCTGGATGTACCTGAATCTCGGAGTCGACGTTCACTCTGAGACTCGCACTCAGTACCGTTCGCTTCACACGCCATCGCGTTATCCACTTAGCTACTGAGTCCTGATAGCTACTTGCTTGTGCAATGGGGTGAAGTTTAATTCACTTGGTATTGTTTTACTTGAATCTTCCCATTGATGTTTTAGGACTGAAATTGATCAGTCTCTTATTGGCATATATATATAAACGTTGTGAGATATAGGTCCAATTGACTTTCATGGGAAGGTAAGTATTGATTTAATTTATTGTGCTCAAACATATATGTATACACTCAAACGGAATCAAATGTATTCAGTATCTTTCCATTGTTTATAAGAGAACAAACTATACATATATGAACATTGTTATTCATTAAATTGTTCGGAGAAGTAATTTATGCATGTTCAGTGTGTATTTATCAATCAGACAAACCATAATCCATCTACTGACTAATTAATTAAGCTGGCATATTTTTATGATCGCCTAAAACTATTTATTTGCATTTACAGTAATAAAACTATTGGTTACAGCTGTATAAGTCAATCATAGATATTGTACTCGCTATAATACACAATTATTTTGGGTTAAGTCTCGTGTGAACTTGTTAGTGTACATTTTCAAGGAGTCACAGGGTAGTTGGTTCAACTTTTGAGTGCTAACTATTTTAGATGCTTCTCTAACCACTAGCCGTCCCTAATGAAGATTATGTTTAGCTTGTATAACTAGCTATTGATATTTTTATATTGTTCTTTAGAGATTCACAATTATACCTCATTTCATAAAATGTAAGATTGTCTAGTCAAATAAGTTTTTTCTGATTTAGCACTACCAAACTTAATGTGTTTGTCACGAAACTCGTTTTGCCCTTTCTATCTACTGTATAGTCAGTCACTATCAAGTGTGAAGCAGGAAACTACAAGTTATCGATTCAATTCTCTATACTTTAAAGAAACATATGCAACAGAGATTAACAAGATGAGAAGCGAAATAGAGATAATAGTGTTGAATATTACAGAAAGGCAAACATAAGAAATGCGGTTGGTAATGAGCAAATGAGCTTAAATAACCTTAAAAATAGACAGATGCTAAATTCAGAATTCTGAGGAGCATAGAGAAAGGATGGAACTGAGTCACTTCAATCGATTTGTGGACATTTCATCATCGTGCCTGAATATCAGAAATCTATGTAATCTTATTCAGGAACCTCTTAATAATAGTGACATGAAAAGCTTGTTTATATGTAACATGCAATTAAATTACATTGTTGTACTTATGCTTTCATTCCGTATTACGATGTCAGGCAAACGATTCGCTAATGTTATATATCATTAACCCACTTTTTACAAATTTTTAGTAATTTAAATATGTTCGTTATAACATTTGCATCCATGTAAACTTGTTATTTCGAGAACCAAGAAGATATTTTATCCTAAACTAATCATTTAAAATGTTATGACAGAGAAGATATTGTTTTCGAAAGTTTTAATCAACTAGTCACAAAAAAATTTGGGACGCTGTAAAGGAATACGTCAATCCTAATAGCAACAAAATCGACATTAACATAAATGAAAATCGAGAAGTCGAAATAAAATGGTAGTAACTAAACACACCGAAAACTTAGTTTAGAAGTTTCAACTCATTTACGTAGCACGTTTTAGATATTATACCGATTAATACAAGTAGGATACATATAATTATATGACTTATCAATTATTGAAAGTAATCTTATAACTGTTTCAAAGTGATATGTCACTACCCACATTTATTATACCGTGGAACCAACACGTAAGTAAGGAGAATAAATAAAGGGAACGAAGTGTTAGGCAGTTGGAGGTAGTCGACAGGAAACTCTGGACCTAGGTTTTATACTGGCTGGTACTATTCAGAAAGACGAATTTGTAATTTTGGGGAACTGATGCTTCCTGAGAAACTCAACTTTAAGTCACCCAAATTTGCAGTCTGTGAATTCGCCTTTGAGCTTTTGGGTCTGTGAACAAATTATGGGACTAAGAAGTTTACAACTGACTGATTAATGAGTAATGACTATTGCTATGCTTGTTTATTACTTTAATTACCGATCGAATTCAACCAAACAAGTTGCTATGTCGTCACTAGCTTATAAGACTCGATATCATATGTATTGTGTTGAAAAGCGTTTATTAGTGTCGTGCAAGTATTCATAAATGGGAAAATGATTTAGCCAAAAAGAATTTTTTGATGGGATTAAGTGTAATGATAAATTAAAACGTCCATCAATTAGGATAAGGTGAAGTAATTAATTCATCTAGGCATTCATTTCTGCTTAGTTTTATGTTACATAATTTCTATGATCTACTAATTGTTACATGTAAAGTGTATACTCTAGCATAACAAAAATCGAACAGTCAAACATAGTAAATTGTTTGCCTTATTAGCTAGATCGAGTAATATTTATGAGTTGATAAATTTCAGTTCGTTAGCTTATGATATTAGTAAGGTATAAAATCACACGAAAATTTCTATTTCTGGAGGTCTCAGCTGATTTTCTCAGCTAAAATTTACTATTTGAGTAAATAATTAATCTTCATTTAAATCTCAAACAAGAAGTCAAAAATTTCCTCTACAAACTGCGATAATAGTCACTGACTTCATCGATCAGTTCTATTTATAAGTTCTACTATGCTTCTAAATTTAACTGGCAGACAAAATTAAAGTGGACAGTTGTTAATGCAACATTGTACATTATTCTACAGATGTATACAACTAAATCTATTATTACTCGGAATCCAAAGTCATTATTATCTTCCTAAGATTCCACAGTACTCGAAAGAGAGACCAGTAATTGAATATAATTGGTTTTCGTGTTTCACTTTCAAAAACTATAATACCTAATCATACAGCAGATTTATAAGCACTCTTGGCTAGTACTTTGCTTCTGTACAACCTTTTGAATATCAAGCATTATCCATAGATGATTTAACTCCATGAATGTTGAACATGATCCTTATGCTTTTATATTGAAATTTATTCAACTAACAATGAACAAAATTGGATAAACATATTCCCATCCAGCTAAAACTTTATGTACTTATGATAACATATAATAAGTTAGCAACAGCATACTTTTCTAGTTGGGGAACTCGTTTTAATGACATTCAGATTTCCTTTCAAATTATTTACAAGACTCCTTTTTGTCAATGTGTTTAGACAAAAATGTAGGGTGAAACACGTGTCCTGGCCTCCACTGTAAGTTACATTCCATCTATTCTGTACTAAGTCATATGAAGTGTTTTAAATAACTAAATAAAACCATCTCAAAGATATCTGATGCATTTATAAATCTAACTAACTATCTCTAACTGAATAGAATGATCACGTATTGATGTGATATAAATGTTATTTTAATTTGATTTGGTTTTTAAGAACTTCTTGAAGTCAATTATTTAACCACATAATAATTTACGGTTCGTAAAGCACGTTTATCAAATAGTTGACACTCGAAATTATTATCTTCAATTTGTACACCATACTACTCAGTAAATTCAAGATCACTACAAAAAATAAATTATTTTTGTGATGAGACCGAGGTTTTATACTCAGCCGGAACCAATAAAGCTCAAAAATATTGATCCAAAGATTCTGTTAACTTCCTCTTGATGTAGTGAACTAAAGTGAAACACTCTGAAGGGTTAGACATTTATGCTGGGTCATAATGATCGAAGTCAAACAACAGTTTAAATTGTAACTGGAACCAACATAACTTCATGTTAGGTTCTACATTAATATCATGGTTAGATATAATGATATAGTTTTATAAAATGTACTCTTCATTTTCCATCTATCTATCTAGGAAGAACCTAGATCATTAAAAGAAATCTGAGGAATTACGTGACAAAACGGATGGTGAATTAAGCGTTGGTGTAATCATTTTCAAATTAGATTAATAATACTATCAACATTTATCGGTGTTTAACAACGTAGGATATAACATCATCCTTTAATTTATAATCCTTTCTCCTTAAATTGATTTAATCCGAGCAGTGAAAAGTTGTAAGAAACTTTTTCTACAAGACGTGAATCACAAATAATAAGAAAAAATCATGAATGTACAAAATGTGGGGAACGAAATGTTGCATGGCAACTGAACGATCTTTTATATAATTCCAGTTATGAATAAAGTTCATTTGGTCAAATGTTTATTTTCATGGTTTGGTGTGCAATTTGTTATCACTATTTCTATAACCTGATACTAAATTTTGTGAGTGTTATTCAGTCTGGTTCGAGGCAGATAAACTTTTGCAATCACAGTAATGTGCATTTATTTAGAATCCTCTCACCCCTCAAATTGATGACAAATGTCATTCGGTTTACCTAATATGATTACTATTCACCAGTTTTTTTTATTTTCGACCTGAAATTGTTCTCTTAGATTTAAATTTTAGTGCATCATTATAACTTTTCTCACACCTACATCGATACTCCCTACAAACATAAATTTATCGAATACAATGATTTTTCCAATATTACATATATTGATCCGAACAAATATCGAGCCCTATTATAATGACCTGCATCACACAAGTTCATTTTATTCTTGTTTAGGTTTAATATGATAAAGTGGACATTATTTTGGTTTAGATAAGAAACGGTACTTTTTATTTCAACATCATACATATACCGTTAAAATATTTTGTCAAACTCACTAAAATATTTTTCAGGACAACCTTTGAGTTTCGTTTATTGACAAATTCACTGAATTTACGTGCATGCTCCAATTCTTCGTTTGCACTTTCACGGAAAAATTTCGCGAAACCTGACAATCCAACCTCTGGTCTAGATAGATAAGACGCCTACAATTGGAGTGAAAAGATGGGAATGTAGATTAATGACGTTTCATAAGTTTATATCTAGAAATTAAATAATGAATATCAAAGTTAAAGAAATCCCTAATGTATGATTGCATGGGGATGTGTGAACAGAATTAGATTAATACATCATGTTTCCGCTGAAGAATTTCACTAGGCTGTTTACAACTAGAAACTTATAGAGAACATGACTTCCTCCATTCTCTCAAAATTTCTCACGAATTGTATAAAACATATAAAACAGAAGTAGTGAAGATTATTTATAGCTAAGTTCAGTGCTTCAGTTAGCAGTAAGTGCTAGTGATATTGTCTTGAACAATAATAAAAGTTTTACAATTAAATCATCTAGCTAAGAGAACACATAATCAATAAAATACTTAAAAATCTAAGTAAATTATGATCCCTATTTTTATGCTAACACGAAGAAAATGACTGATAGATATTACCAATGTTACAACTGGTAGTTGTGAAAGGATTTCAACCTACCAATAGCCTAACGGAATAATGAAAAACTTTTCGAGTGTTGTTGCACATATTGGGGCAGTTGTCACATCGCGGTTGCCCGCTCAGTGGTGTTCTCTTCTTGAAGCATCTTCAACAGAAACTAGTTTAGAAGTGGTCTTAATACCCTGGGAGCACGACTGTGGTGCTTGAGAGATAACCAGTTGAAGGTGGTCACATACGACAATTTTTTGTGATAAGTTTTAGACAAATTAACACATTACTTTTGAGGCCTTACAGTTAGCGACGAGAATCTTTCTGATAAGGTGAGATGATTTATTTTTGAACCAAGCCCCTTTGTCTTGTGGTAGAACAAATTGGTCGCAGACACTGGCTGTTTGAGATAACTAACTTACCGTTACCAGGCTTTTATTTAGTTGGTGGAATGATTCCGCTCTCGAAATATGATTTTTTTGCTCTCAGTTCTATCACTGTCCTAATAACTTGCCTGGTATGAGTTATATGTTGCGACCAATGTAGCTCTACCGGATCAATACAACATACACGCCCGACCACCATGTCAAGGTAGGAGTTATGGTCAGGATTCTTAACATTTTAATCATAAAATAGTCATTACTTGGTTGCATGTGATATAAGAGTCTTGAGATCACTCAGATGAGATTGCGAATAGATTGACTAGACTGACTGGACCAGTACAATACATCGAAAAGTGTCCGTTTCTAGAGTTTGTTTGTGCTTAACAGAGTAATCTCAGTCTATCTATCATTATATAGTTATCAGTCCTTGTAATTACAGCAAACGAAGTAAGGATAGCAGAAGTTACTGAAACTAATCTTGTAAGTTCGTTTTATTTTATGATCGATCAACTATAAATAAGAACAGATTGAAATCACAATAATTATTTGGAATAATTTAAACGAAATAAGAAACACATTATCATTGTGAACGACAGCAATTCAAGTGATGTAATTGAAAACTTTAAAAAGTAAAACTAAGGTATACGTTATAATATGTAAATTACAAGAGTTGTAAAGACACCCCAATTAATCGTAATTTTTAGCTAGTTGGTTATGGAAACACTTTTGACCGACATTTAACTACTGCGTTAAAATCTGTGAACAATCGTTAATAAAGAATAGTGCAATTAAAATAATATCAAAGTGAATTTACCAGTCAACACATACACAGAGAGTGATCACAAACTATTTTTCTATACAGAGGTCCGAGCGATGTTTAATGCTCAGTGTTTATAAATTAAAGTATTCCAATTCTGAATTGCATATTACTTATTCCGAAGGTTTCTAACCAGTGAGCTTGATGTTCATTATACCCGAGTTTAAATGTTGAGTATATACACCATCTATGGTTTCATATTTGGATCTAACCTGTCTTACTGTAAATTAATTTTCTCGGTTTGGCTTAAAATATCGTAGTAGCTAAAAGATCGAGAACTGTGAATCAGTTTATCATTCAAGCTGATTATATAGCTAGTGTATTAATGAAAATATAGAATGAAATCTGTTAACGGCTTATGACGTGCACGTACTACTTATAGACTGAATAGTAAATAGTACCTTCTGCTTCAGTTATCTCGGATCACTTTCTATTGATTGATCGTAAGTCATTCACTAGTGTGTTTTGATTGCTTTCTGTACAGCCATTGTTACACGTGTAATTTATTCAAAAAATAATCACCCGAAGTCGTAGAAATAGTAACTTTTTTTCTGACATTATGTATAGGATTAGGCAAACTACGAATAAAAATTATCCTGAAACTTCAAAATCTCACTTATTAAGTAGTTCTCTGTGTCACGCTCCATACAATTAGAATTCTATTAGAAATGAATGGGAAAACGTCGTATATTATGTGACTATTAAACATGAGATTACCCTAAAGACCATTGTCATAAATCATTTGAGGACTACTCCATTACACATCAACAATGGATCATCACGTATACTTTTTATCACTCTTTTTAAAAAAAAATGTTATTTCTTGAGTAAACTAACTGAATCTATCAGCTGTCAATTTTTCCCCAAATAATAGAATTTTAAATCAATCTTTATTCATTTAATTTACTGTTTTAAGGTGTATTAGATCAATAATGTTCTGTGCAAACTGATCATGTCTTTCTAAATAATAATTTTTTTGTAGTCATTTTCAATTCTGTCTATTCACTGTAAATACAGTTACTGAGGATTGCATTGTCATTGATTTTATAATATTACAATGATAACTTACAAGTAAACTATTTTATTATTATTATTATTATTATTATTATTATTATTATTATTATTATTATTATCAATTTTATTCAATATTATATTTTCGGTACAATATAGAATTCTCAACGTAAAGTATTTCAACGAGTTTCCGTTTCTTTCTTCTTGGTCGATCCTGGCAATAAATATCGAGTGATCGCCAGCTAGATGTTAGTAGTTCAGTAAATGAACATCGGAATAATGTACATTCTTTTCGTTGTATATTGCCAGCGACCACATTATCTCTTATTGAGCTTTTAGTAACTTTGACAACGAAAGGTTTTAAACTTTTCAGAAATGCACAGGGATGGGTTATGCGATTAATATACATAATGATATATTAAAACAAACAAAAATAGATAACTTGTTGAAATATCTGGATGGCAGAAACAGGTAGCCCAGATGCTCAAGCAGGCCGCCCTTATAAATTACGACTAGAGATTTTTATTTCTCACCTTCTCCACTTATCATTAAAAAATAAAATATTCCATGTCCGAGTGCATAATATCGCTTAAAATTTAAATTTTAAATTTAAAAATTAAAAACAGAACACACACAAAAAAAAACCTTTGAATAGATGTGTTAACATTTGTTTATGTAGATCTACTATATTTTGAATGATGCAAAATATTGATTATTTGAAGACAAACTTTTTTTGATAATTATGCTTAAATATGAGTGATAATCAAAAAAAAAGAATTTACTTTTCATCTTATTATAGGAATTCGAGTTGAATTCACACGTGGTTAATATGTAAACAGTAAAAATAATATAGATGTATTATTATCAGAATGGGTTTTGTGGAGATTTTTAGAAATTTCACTGGTTGAAATCATGAGTCAGTTGAAGCTAGACTACCATGGAAAACTTGGAAGCACTGGACGACCGTTTCGTCATGGTGAGAAGTCGTTACCAGTGGAGTTCAATCAGGTCTGTTGTGAGATAGGAACTCACTGAAGACAATGGTGTACGGTGGCGCAACTTCGTGGATTGGTTGAAGTTAGACATTAACACTGTTGGATGCCGGCTCAGTGGTCTAATAGTTAACTGCTCGCGCGCGAAACCAGTAGGTCCTGGATTCGAATCTCGCGTGTTGCGGGATCATGGATGCGCACTGCTGAGGAGTCCCATACCAGGACGAAACGGCCGTCCAGTGCTTCCAAGTTTTCCATGGTGGTCTAGCTTCAATTGACTCATGATTTCAACCAGTGAAATAGATATATTAGTTAAACTGTGCATATCTTATTTGCGATTCAATTATTTAAAGATGAATCCCAATTGTTGTTGTTGTTGCTGCTAAAATCAATTTGGTTTAAATTGCTTATTTGTAATTTTTCTTATTTAGCTTAAAAATTGTCACTTTTTTTCTAAACTAGACTGTTTACAAAGCTTAAAACATACATTCGGTATAAAATTACCAATGTATTAAGAGTTTAGTTACCAACTATATTTATTTATAATAATTAGAAATTATGAATTTAGATAGATTAGAAAGTTACGCTTCATCATGTTTCGTGATCAGATTTTCAGATTTTTTGTTAGCATTTTTGGAAACAGTAATTCTCATATGTCAGCCGAACACCGTTTTATGAATATGAATATGAATTTCAATTTATACAGTTAACGTAAAATCTTTATACAAAAATAAACTAGTTTGGTTGAATACAACTTAGAACAATGAATATAAGCGAACAATATCGTTTTCGACTAGATCTTCATCAGGCTTTATTCTGATATACAGTAATATTTATATACATATATGAAATTATTAGACCAATCAAGGTAGTTTATGAGTCAATGATAACAGTGGAATAAACTAGATAAGTGAAAAGTACAAATCGGTGGTGTGATGACAGGTGTACTAGTTGTGATGAGAATAATAAGGACTTGAATCAATGTTACATAACGGGAAATAGGTCAATGATTAGAAAAATATAGACACTGAAGTGACATTCATGAAAATTATAAGATTACGTAATAAGAAGTGTTCTGATAATTAGACCGTGAAACGTATATTTGAAATAACACCTGGAAGCATTGAATTACTGTTTCATCTTAATATGGGGCTTTTCAGAAGTGAGTATTCACGACCTCACCGAGGATCAGACGTACAACTTTCTGTCAAGCAGAATGGTAATAAAGTAAACCAGAAGGTTAGAGAGACTGAGAAGGTGAAAATAAGTGAAGTATAATAAAATTGTTAAAGTTATAGAAGCATAATACTGTGGAAAAGTTAATTACCAGAAGACTCAAACTACTACTTCCTATGAACATAAAGACTCCGTCATGAAGGTTTAGTCATTTCGATACAACTCAGACAGGTGGTTCAGTAATTTGAATAAAGATGTTGTGGCGTGAAGTGGTTCTTCCAAGCATCCTTTCAGAGCAATCCTACTTCAGCTAATAACGTAAGTGCTTTCAATTGTTATTTGCAATCTACATCTTAGAAGACATTTGTAATCTACAACTGGAGTCCCACAAAATATCAATTCCTGAAGATCATGGCACATACCTCGTGCATTGTACAAGATAAACTGTTAAACAGTCCATATGCTACATGATGGTTAGTACAATATCTCATCTGGAGTATTAGCGTCAGTGTTCATGTTGAATTGTGCACGAATAAAAGATACTTGAATGCATTTGATCTAAACTTACTGTTGAATGTTAATATTAGTGGAAGCGATTAATGAGTGACTGAATTTTCTTTAATATCACTTTCCTTTCGGTTATTTCATTAAACTCCAGTTTTTGCATTACGATGAGATAATAAACAGAATTAAGCATATCTTGAATTTAATAGATATTTGGTTGATAGTACTAATTTCGTCTGTACACTGAAAATACTAGATAAATAGTTTTAGACGCATAATATTTTATCCCATAAATCAAGTAGACAGGGAGAAATCATTCATTTTATTGTTAAATCTCCTCATCAGGTTTTTTACTGGAATACAACAAATACCTTAGTGATATATCTATCTTAAAGAAGCAGAATATAAATGAACCAGAATAATTGTTATTTGTAACTGAAAACGATATTTTACATAAATTACCTTCAGATCTAATCTTAAAACTAATAATATTTACCATACTTAAATTAATCACATTTCAATTCTTTCTGAGAACAAATCAGTGTGTAAGATTAGTATCTGAATCATTGAAAAATATAATCTATTAAGTAGTTAATTACATTTCGGTAATCTTTAAGAGAACTAAGTGCCAACTGATTGTTTATGACATAGACACTTGATGTAACAAATACGATGAACTGTATGCATTAACATAATAATCAGAGGAAGATTAAAAAGTTCACATACAAGCCTAATCAGAATTGTATCTATTTATTTTTCAAGTAATCACTATGACTTCTCTAGTCCGATGAGGAATATCTATAGTGAGATTTGTGACATTCGACTGATAAAAAAATTTACATACTGTTCATTTATATGGTTATAAAATAAACCAATATCAATAAACTATGTGTATATATGCTTCATATTGTAAGTTAAACCAAATGATTTTATTTAAGAATTACGATAGATCAGAAAATTTTGCACACTAATAGATAAGAAATATTAGTAAGGTTATTAAATTGCAGATATAAAGCCGTTGATATTCCCTACCCCCTATTATAAGTATTTAGAAAGTTTCCCCTTCATCTACTGACAATAATTCATAGGATGAATCAACTACAAGTAACAACTTGTTCAAATAAAACTTTGAGAGATGTTTGTATAATAATGCGTTGTTATTTCTATCATTATCAGCGAAAGAAATCGTCGAAAATTCGAATTTGATTTCCATTATTGATTACATTATGATAAAGCTTTATTCTCGGTTAATAAGAAAGACTTATTAATAAGCAGATCATAAATTATCGTAATGACATTGGTGACACCAAGAATACACAAGTCTCTCTGCATCGACAATGAACTAGATTTTTTTCAAACACAATTAGGAAAATAAAAACCAGAGAACTCTGTCAACACTGGCGCACTTACGATATGGTCATAAATATAAAAAGCCTCGTACTCAGTTAGAATTTGATCATTTAATCCATTTTCCACTTGATCATCTAAAGCAGTCGGGTCTTCAACTTCACCGCGAATTTGAATTGGGGCTGAAAATACGAAAGAAAAGTAATTTTATTGATGTAATATAACAAAAGTGATGGTAAATTAAAATACGCGACTTTTAAACGATACCCCATACACTGGTTGTTATCTCATATACGTAAATATAGAAATAACTTTAAAGACTATTAAGTGAATATCTTGAATGTTTATATATTCTTTGGGACTTTTTTTAAGTAACAAATGGTAAAACTCCGATGCTTTTGAAACATTAAACAGATGACTCGTATTTACTTATTTAAGACAAGATGTATGTTTATTGTCTAAAATTATTGACATTTTAACAGCTTTATCCAAATCTTCTTGATGTCCTGTATCGGTCCAGTATAAAAGTATGGTGTTCATACATATCCTTAATTTTTTCTGCCCTTAGTTTTGGAGGTTAGTGTTCGAAGATTCAGTAATGGACTTGTCTAGTTGTACAGTTGATGTAAATAGCTGACCAAAAGCACTCAACTATTTAAAAATGCAGATGAACAATCATTCCCAACAAACAAAGCCTACTTTCTAACCAGGCTGGTACAAAAATTCTGTCTACATATGACGTCGTTGTTTCAAGTATCTTAAATAACTTTGTTCGTGGTAAATATGTGCTACCTTCATTTCAAGTTTTCATGATATGAAAGTTACATGCAGTTTTCTCTAGGTGTATTACTAGAATATACCGTTAACGTCACTGTTAATGAGGAGGTTGATAAATTGGATATCTTCATCCACCTTTCATAAGTTTAATTATTTTGATATATATTAGTGTATTACATAATACAAATAATGAAAATATTAAAAGTTATGGGATTGTATTGGGATTGAAACAGACGTTAGTTTTCTTCGACATCTAAATCGACAATCCATTTCATATATGAATAACACTTTATCTCCACAATAAGGAAAGCATCATTTATTTAAGTTTAAACTGATTCCATCTATTCAAACGAAACCTTTTACCTAACAACTCTAAAGTTTAATGAAAATGAGGTAACGCCTCAGGAGTTCAGTGTTTAATCAAATCTTGTTGCATAGAATACATCATATTGAATAACAATTGTTTACTTGTTGCTCATTTAAGGCCAGCAACTTGTGAACTGTTCAAAGAAGATACTTTCAAATTAACATGAAACACATTACACCATAATACTTAAAGTTTCACTCACCATACACAGCAAGAATCCAAGTAATAAATACTATCATCCACATCATGATCTTCATACGAATTGAAGGATGTATATTAAATGAAATTTCTTCGAACAGTTGCTTAGACAAATGTAGTTAATGTCAACTAGTTGTAAAGTTAAATCTAAATATTAAATTATTGTTTTACCTTGGAATTTAGTATATATCAATGATTAAAAATTATTATGTGTACTATTATATTGATATATTATTAATATAAACAATTTTAAGTAATTTAATTGGTTTTATAAAATGAAATTATTTATTTAGTGGTTCCAATAGCATATGTAAATAAATTTAGAACAATTAATACATGAATTGAGGGCAGTAGTTCGAGTTTATTGGTTAGACTGGACAATTTTATTCTGTCATACAACTAAACTGTAATACTATTGATAATATTTATAAAACAATTGTCTAGTACGAAAAACTATCATATAATTTTATTTGCCTAGTATTTGTTATTTTATTAAACTGAATTATGAATTATTATTGCCAAGTTTCATGACCCAAAATATAACTTGTAATAGGAAATATTTGATCAATAATAACAGGTAAACTAAACAGTGTCAATCAGTAATTTGATGACAGATTTAGAATAGATTGGATTGTTACTGGCTTGCTATTTTACATAATAGATTTCTTTAATTAATAGGTTAACTCAGGTCATTAGGGATTTCTGTTATAACATATAGAGTACATTATGCTTATTCCAGTTAATGTAACATTCATTTGTGGCTACATACTTGGTTTTTTTCTGTTTCTATTGTTTAAAGTGTCTCTAGAAGTCCTAATAAGTCAAGCTATTCAAAATATACTATCAATTCGTGTTTTATTGTTTACTATCTACACAGCCAGACCTAAATTCAATTCACCAACAATTATTCGAGCAGTTAATCGATAATCGGAAAGTTTAGTGTTTTCATCAATGTTCGTTCTTTATTAACATCATCTTTGTAGTCTTCATAGCCATCACTAAATCACTTGATCTGTTTGAAAACTACTATTTTCGTGAACATTTCATTTCTATACACAGTTATTACCATATTCTGGATTTTGTGAAATATTTTTTTAGATTTCATCATGAAAGGATACAGCCCTCTCAGAGTTTTTTATGGAACAGATCATGTATTTACCTACTGAAGGCAATATGAATATAAACACGGGTCACGTTCATACCAAAATCTTCTGAATTACTAGTTTAGCCGAGCATTTTTATGTACTTTTGGTCACAATTAGTTTAAGAACAACTAAGTGTCTATAGTTCATTATGAGAATAATACACAACACCTAGAGTTTGATATAAGTTGCAAAGTTATTTCATAAACAAGTCATATTGTTAAACTAACAAAGTATCTTGATATTCGTTAATTTTTATCAACATACAGTTCAAATTTACTATAATCCTTCATATCAAACATATTGCAGTTTCCAACTGAATTCACAGTCAGTTGTCACTGTTTATGGGTGTAGTTGTTATTGATTGACTGATGAGAAATGACGTTGTTGAATCGAATGAACGAAAACAATTATTTAACAGCACAGATAACAATAAATCACAATATAGATTCAATCGTTTCAATGCCTTAGTTGATATCTTTTACTGAATTATTTAAAAATTGCATTCATAGTTTTATATTCATAATATTTACTAGTTGGTAGCATAATTATTATAAATTCATTAAACACAGGACATTGTACGTACGACCCGTGTTTCATGGATAACTCATTGAACAGTCATAAGTGGATATAATCAAACTACTTATGTGTATTTATACTTATATATACAGAAATTGTCATTCGATTGAAGCCTTACTTCTCATAGCATTAATGAAAAGTAATTACGATGCCATTTTGTTTACTACATATATTAATGAGCTACGTTACTAATGTAACAATATGTTGTGTAGAGTCGATGACGAATATTTATGAGCATTACTAAAAGAGAATAGACTAAATATATTGATCGTTACTGTTTGTTGATATGAGAATTATTCTTCATATACTTACCTAATTGATGGATACTGACTAAGAAAGTATTATGTCAACTAATTTTTTTATTGACAAAGAAACAAAATGTTCTTAGATATATCGTTTTAACGGTTGATATAATAGCTATGAGATGCCGAAAATTTCCATGCTTTTGCTTAAAAAATTATTATTATTCATGCTAATATGGTTCAATATAAGCTACTAAATATAAAAAAGACCTTAAACTAAGATTTCCATCTCATGTGTGGATACTACTGAGGAGTCTCAAAACAGCTGATATCGATCATCAGATTTTTCTGCTTTTCAAATAACAAAAAGGTATCCATCTTATGTTCGATGCTTATGTTTAAGAACAAATATGCAGAGCTGACTTTTTGATTGGTGAACCCAATTTTAATTAAACTATGAAAAATCAATAAGTCTCTCCCGAAGTTAAAGATATGACTGATTATTAGCTATTAATTTTGTTTATCTCAGAGTATTTTTAACCTATTACTTACAAACATCAGGCAACCAAATAATTTAGCCACTTAAACTGAGTCCAGGATCACATTTGCGTGTTTATTATACTAAACGTTGATTGGTGCGTTTTTCGGGGATTATTTGGATAGGTCATTCAATCGATAAGAATTCATTCAGTGTGCCTCTAGATTTTGTTGTCTCCCCTCCCCATCCGATAAAATGATCTACCAATAAATAATATGTCAGACCAATGAAATTGTCATGTTTATTATTTATAAGTCACTTTATGGTCTTCAGATTTAGCTAAATTGCTTTTATTAATGGACCTAGATTGTACAGCCAACTCCTCAGTTTCGGACTCTCAATCAAATGAACACACTGTCGGATCTAGTCCAACAGAATTAGGCTATGAAAATACTATAGGAACACCGACAGGAGTGGAACATTACTCCGATCTATATGATAACCGATCAAATAAAATTGTGGCAGAAGACCCTAGAAATAATTTGGAGTCGTCAGTCAATGAAAGTGGCTACAGTTCCTATTGGTAAGTTAGTCAAGGTCATTATTTTAAGATACGTAGTAAAGTGTACTTGGAACATAAAATGTTTGGATAAATTACTGCCTAGTCTGAATCTAGCATATTAACAATCTCATATACAATAACCCTAATTAATCAGGACATTTGAAGACTGATGTATTATTGATATACGGCTATCACATTTATTCGCCGAGGTCTATTTCGATGATTGGTTGACTAGGTTTACTAATTCATCATTAGAATCTTTGAAGCGTATGACGAAATTCTATCCACATTACTCTAATGTAGGTAATAGGAAGTCGTAAGCCCAAAATATATCAGTTTAAATGTTATGGAAATAAATTGAATATCATAAAATTTACTACAACTCTTCAAAGAAAATTCGTTAAGAATCCCGGACAGTGAATAAAATTTTCAAAATCTTTGCTTCGTAAGTTCAGAAGAATTTTAAGTTCATAGATCTTAAATAAAGCAAATTATTCTCCACAATTAAGCACATAGTTAACGTGATTGTTACTCGGTTGATAGAATTTAACATTCACATACATTATATCATGTTAAACATCGATAGTGACAATGATAAAAATTGAGTTTACTGTGCAGATGAATTATAGAGGTGTATAGCGTCTTAAATGTTTCGACTTTTTTATTAGTGATGAGTATAATATTCAATGTCGTGACAAGAAAACTGTTGTTGGACATCATGTTCCCTATTGCTAATATATATACATACTTTTTAACTGTCATGCTGTGAAGCTGAATAAAGAAAAAAATTATTTAATTAATCCCGATAACTTACGTAAATGGAGTCCTACTATCGTTTGCCACAAGTGATACTATGTCGTCAGTATGAATAATTATTAACTTTCCTTACAATATATATTGATCAAATATTTTAAAATTTTTTTTTAATGCGGATCAATACCACTTAGTAATCTCTGTAGATCACTACATACTATTATGCACCTTTTGTACTATGTGAGTATATTTGTAGATTTTACCTTTATTTCTTAATTCCTTTCTTTTAAACTTTGAAGTAACTATAGTTACATATCAACTGAAGATGCAATTACTAAACCTGAGGAAAGTGAACCTCAGTTTTGCGTTAATGCATGCCATTCGATTTATACGATTCCATATATGCCAGAGAACTTAACAAACAACACTTGTCGTTATGTAGAATTTACAAGTGACAACAACGAGACAGTCAACGCAGTAGCATCCATAGTTAGTCATGGTGTGAATTCTTGCAGTTACATCCCTGTTTCTAATATGATTACTACTGTTATCAATCACAATTTTACACCAACACTTACAAATGAATTCACCAAAATCTTTAACTACCAGTGTGACACAATATCAACCCCAGATATAACAAGGAAGAATGATAATCAAAGAAATTTCAAAAGTGATCCCGATACATTTTGGGTTAGTCAGCGTGATGACATTCAAAAGTCAGTTAGCAGAAGAACAGGTCATCTATCAAGTGATAAACAAAATGCATTGGATGGTTACGTAGACAATGGAAACATTCCTACTTCTACAGACCAACAACTTTTACAGCCACAAGCGTGTTTAAACAATTATCGTGTCAAAGAGGACGAATCCAAAGAGTCGTATAATTCAAATTTTCCTGAATTTGCGTACAACTTAATGAATACACACTCTCAACATTACACAACAAGCGATTTTATTAATGCCAGTTCTCAAAATTCCGTGATAGACTGTATCTCATCATATCAAGATAGTTCTCAGAATTCTGAGAGCGTCAGTGGTTGTGTTAAAGGGCCATCGTTTTATTCGCAAACTCATAACGTTTATTGGCCCTGGGTCGACAGATTTTACGCTGAAAATTGCGCTTCGAAATTAGGCTCAGTTTGTAATTCGGATGTTGCTACCAAGGGACTGATGAACTACACAAATTCATTCTCTTGTAATCCAAGCTTTGGTCATTCCTACAATTCACACTCTTTATTCATCAGTGGTGCTAATCTCCCGTACATCAGTGAAAAGCCAAACGAACTGTCTCAGTCTTCGAAACTTTCAGCAGTAAATTTATGTACAGGGGAAAATATGTCTGCTTTTCATTCTATTGCTCAAATATCGAGTGATTACTCCGGAACATCTGTGGTTGCCGGTAATATACCAAATCTCATTTTAATGAACGCACAAAGCAGTGGTGATTTTTCAGCTCAGTCTGCCGATAATCATAAAGAATCTCAAGAAGATGAGAATAGCTTTGATCATAGTGAAACGTCATGGCAACCAGAACTGAATTCTGTTCAATGTTCATCACGCAAAAGATTGTCAGATAAACAGAGAAAGACTATATGTGTTTCGATTATCAACGAAAATCAAACGGAAGTTTCACATACTCCTCAAGATGAAATTACCCAAAATTCCTCCACATCGTTTGATATTTCGAGCCTTCACCGAGAAAATGAAATTTGTTTAGACCAATCAATCTCTGGAAATAGCTATTCATGGACGTCAAAAAGTGATAAACTGAAATTTAATTCCCGCTTAAGATCAAAAAGATATTCTGACGCGATCAATTTAACACGAAATAGACCATTAAATCAAACTGCCTTGAGTGTGATGGAAAGTTGGTATACAAATCATGTAGATAACCCGTATCCTACAACAGCGGAGAAAGAAGAATTAGCAGCACTTGGTGGAATAACAGTCATTCAAGTAGGTTAATTCTATAAATTGATAATCAGTTATGCAACATCTTATTGGTGACTTTTTTATGTTTCGTAATGACGTCTAATTTATTTGTTGTATGATAACTCTAAGCTTGTCAGTAAGCTTCTTAAAAATCTACAGTTTTGCTTTTTCATATAATTTTTTACAAGATTATTCAGGAATTGACTCTAGGACTTTGAGTAGTCAGAACAACAATCAACCTTCTTATATATTTGTTAAATGTTAGGCAAATTTTGTTACAAATTTGTGTGCATTAGTTATTGAAATAAATAATAATTTATGGTGAGAGATGAATTTAAATGTTCTTTTTCTGAAGTTGTTTTTTCATGACTTTGGAGAGTGGGTCACATGTACGTCAGAGTTTATGTCATAAATTAAAGTATACTGGAAAACCTTACTTCAAAAGCTCCTCGATGTGCAAAAAATAAACATAATTAGGTTATTCGAATGTTTGCTATTACTATTCGTTCATGCACTTATCAAACGTACATTCTAGAGTTTTGAACCATAATTTCTTGAATGATAGACGTTAACAATTTTACTTTGTTTATGGCTGAGTTATGGATTACTCTAAAAATATTGTTCAATGTTTTTTGTTCATGGTATCAAGTTTTTTAAAAACTCATTTCAATTACAGGTGAGTTCTTGGTTTGCCAATCGCCGAACACGAACAGCAAACACCAAACCGAAGAAGAATCGAAGAAAGTTGTATCATCAAATTTATCAACTAGCCGTTGAAATTGAAGCATTAACACAGGGATCACTCCGAGCTTGTGATTTACAAGAACGAATTGGACAAATTATTGATGAATATTTAACGTGAATTTTCCAGCCTTACTATTCATAGCTTTTAGACACCGTTAATTCTTGTTTATAGTCAGTTTCTGCTAACTTTTTTGAATCTCAGGTTCATTTTTTGTTCTTGTTTATTTATACTTTACTTATTTGGAATTTTTTGTTTGTTTGTCAGATGATTCTTTTTCTTACTAATACAGTTTTTTTTATTGAAGTCGGCTTCGTTTTTGCTATATTCTAGGAAAAATGTGATCACCTTAAGATTATAGTAATTTTAATAGGTCACGTTCCTTATTAAATTAGCGTATCAGTGTACTTTATGGTTACGCAAACGTAGTTTATATGAGAGCATTCAACCCAGATCTGTTGAATAGATAAAATATGAAGAGATCCGCTTGTTAGTTAATATTTTTACCGTTTCGCAGTCTGTGGTAGCAAGTACAGTGGATACGTGACTTGATTGTTAAATCACTTACAACCACTTTTTTGTTTGCTGATTATTAATTGTTGAAAATTTTAACTAGATACCGGGCTGTCCATGTCATTTATAAACAAGCAACCTCCATCTGTTCATTTGAACAAAACTTGGAAACATTTTCAGTAGTTATTATCTACTCAAGTACTCTTGTAGTAAATACGTTGAGATAGTCTTTGGAATGCTTCAGAAAACTTATTTTGTGATCATCAATCTTTTATCCTTCTTGTTCGAATTAAAATTCATAATGGTCAGTCGAGAGATCAAGTTTGTCAGTCATGTAAAGATATATGAATAGTGTACTGCTCGCCGAAATTTGTGCTTATGATGTTAGCTAGCAAGACAGTGAAAACTTTATGACTAAACTACGCAACTCAGGAAAAGTAACTCCACCAAACAGGATTTAATTTTCTGCACAGTACTTTGCCTTTTATATCACAAACGCTAACCTGAGTTATCCACACTTCACAGCATTTGTAAAATTTATCTCAACAGATATCAAGATAATTCCATTGTTCTCATGAGACATTTTTGACGACTATTTTCGTTAGCAGAGATAAACTACAGAGAAATTGGATTAGCATAGTTAAATTAAAGAAATGACCTTAGCTGAACCACAACTAGAAACCAGGAAGCGATAATCGGTTGACTGTTCTTAGGTAGGACTCGTCAGTTTTCCACGAACCCAGATCCGGGAACTGAACCCAGGATCTACGTTCTCGTGAGAGAACATTTAACTTACAAACCACTGAGCTGGCTCCAACGGTTTTCGTTTCCAAATTCAATATGATGATGATAATTATGCGTTCAATAGTGATTAAATTCATAGTGCAAATCCTGGAGTTTTACTGAGAAGCTATGACCGGTGGGGTTCATCCATGTATGGTACGAAATATTTATCCATCTCTGACCATGAATGAGGGTTGTGCAATATCGTAAAGTGATTGGAGCTATACACCAATACCGTTGGATGCTGGTTTAGTTGTTTGAAGTTTAAGCTTTCCCTAGCAAGACCAAGGTTTCTATGTTCTTCACCCCTAGTGGGAGGGTTTTGGGTGTGCACCGCTAAGGAGCCCCAAACTAGGACGCGATATCCATCCAGGCATTCAGTGGTTATCTGACCATGACCAATTTCTTATGTAATCTTTGTAGATTCATGATCTCCACAAACCTCCTACACCAATAATATTCAATCATCAAAGCTAACGGTAGTCTACAACATTTAACCAAATTAATCTGGAGACAAGTAGTCATTGTTTGTAAAAGCTCATTAAAAAGTAATTTGATTATGTGGAAAATTCAAGAACGACATGTAATAAAAATCAGGATAACTAATTCTAATAATATTTCCACCATAGATTTAAAATGTCAGTTTGCTTCCAACACTATGACGTCGGTATAATCTATATATATGGGGTAAACGTAAATTATTTCTGTTTATTTGTATATTATTTCGTTGTTTTATGTCATCATTTTACGACTAGTAAAGGAGACTCACTGTTCTGAAATTGATGATCATTTTGCAAAAAGATATCCTCTAGCTTAAGGCTGAATTATAGTTATTTCGATTGAATTTACTTTATCATTTGTATTACTAGCACCAGTACGCTCAATCGGGAAAAATTCATTCAGCCCGTTCAAATAAACCTCTCATTGACAATTCACATAAACGACAGAGCTGTTTTGATTTAATTGTTCCTAATACCCCTGATGTTTTTGTTGATTATTCATAATACATGTGACATATATAAGATCAATATTTTATTGTTGTTTTTTTTGTATTAAATATGAACGAATCACATAATCGGTGTCTAAGTAATAAAGAACTTATTACAGTATGAACAGAAAGATGTAGTTTGAGGATTTTTAATTAAATGACCTTTTATCAGCTTTACAAACCATAACAGTTTTATTGATTACGTTTTTTGAATGAAATGAACTAGTGATGACTTGTCACATATAATAACTAGCCTTGACAACAACAAAAAAAGCAGAAAATTAGTAGATTTATCTGTTATTAATTTTATTTGACATCAGATATCAAACCGTTTAATAACCATATCTTGAATGCTCATCATTCATTACATCAACATTTGTTAATGAATAAAGTAGTTACGTAATAAAATGATGAGCTGAGAGATTTTAGTCACGGTTAATACACCTCGAAAACTTAACGTAATATATTTATGAAAGTCAATATTAATAACTGCAATTCAGATCAAATGGTTTCTATTTGCCTAATCAAAATAGACTATATTAGGGTATACATAAACAAGGAGTCTGTAATTCTTAAGTAACTGGTGTGACTCATCTGTATGAGATAGGTGGTAGCCCTAATATTTCAGTGATTAACTTTCTAATTGTAATAGTGTGATGCGACATAGGAATCTATCAAGGAATAACAGTTCTTCATGATAACACATATGGGTCCATCTAAAGAGATCCATACCATCAAAACACTTAGTAGTAAGATCAATCTAAACTTCTTGTCAAGTAATCAAGGCTGTTGACTGCACTTCACATTGATGAAGAAGATTTTGTCAACACCAATTTCTAAAAAATATGACATTCGTAACTCGCACGTGATTATTTAGTGCAAAAGTTTTTTCCACAAATTTGAACAAGGATCATTAAGTGAGTTACGAGTAATGAATTGTTAAAGGTGTACTAACTATAAGCCTGGAACTTGTTTGTCACCTGTTTTTATTTAATACAACTCCATAATCAGTTATGGTTTATAAATTCACGAATTTTGCAAATGAGGTAATTCTAAATATTTTATCACTTTGAGGTAACTGATCTCATTCTACTCATTTATGATTGTTGAGTTTGCTATAGAATTTAAATATGTATTGGAAGGAAAATAAGTTTAATGATAATTTAACAGCAAGCAACTTGTATAAATATGTAATCATGTGTCCGCCGTTGCCAACTGTAAATTAAACGGACATGCTACATTGACTATTGGGTTGATCGTTGTACTGGAAAACGAATAATGAGTTCTAGAGAACGGCAATTATTTGTTCATGATATTAACGACCATTGAGGAGGAAAATACATGCTTTCCGTCCGGAATCCACAAAACCATTTTAGACTGTGGTTAGCGGCGTCATATTGTACAGAATTTATCCCAGTAGTAGCGACACATTCATTTTTCCTTTTTTTCAAATTCTTGTTCATAGTATTATTCCATACTTTAAAGTCCTCGATGCCATACTTTTACTCCCATTATAATCAATTTCCTCACTACGATCAGTATCATTATTTTTAATTCTTCTTAGACTTTATTTAAAAAGTTACCAATTTCTGCTATACATATTTCTACTTTCATAACTCTAATTGCTACATATCTCTTGGTTAATGGTTCATTTTTTTATATCAGTGAAAAAAGTCTAAGCTAAATATAATTATTAAACAATGAAGAACGGCTAGATAATTTCAGACACTTCGATGATTGACCATCAGTTACATATATTTCAGTGAAGCATTTTCAAACACAATAAACGGTTAAGCAAGAATTAACGTTTCCATTATCAAATCAAACCAAGTCAAAACGTTTAAATTTTAGCTAATTAACCTGAAAACATATTGTTAATTTCAATACATAAGGTAGGATACAATGAATGATAAGCCAAATACACACCACTTGTCTTTTTTCAGTTCAAACTCAGTTTACATTAGAGATCATTTATAATTTACAAAATGGTATGTTTACAAAGAATATATTGTTATTACTGACGTAATTGTTTCGCAAATGTGGTCAGACCTAGTGTTGATGAATCCAAATGTTGAAATTGTTTCGAACATTTCTGAAAAAAGTTAAAACCAGATATCAGAAAATAATTTAGCCATCGAGATACAACTACTGTTTCAAAATCACATCCAATGTAATGCCGAAAAACAGTAATTCCCTACAGATATTTTAACAATTTACAAATAATGTGTTAAAATGAAAACAAAATAATACCTTCATGAGAAAACAATGAAAGTACATGGATACATGAATATAGGTAGCACAATATAACAAACCTTTAAAGACTATGAGTGTCAGTAATTTGTCTAACAGTTTATCTAGCTGGCGTTTTATGAGATTCTGACTAAATCAAGGTAGTAGAGTACATCAATATTGCAGACAAGAACAAAAACTCAAATCGATAAAAGTATATGAAATAATGAACAACTCTTATTAGTAAATCTTATGATAAAATCAAACAGTAAGAAATTTTTAATCTATAGAGTCTACATTAGAAGCATACCCGCACAAAGCTCTAATTAAAACGAATGATAACACACCACAATATAACTAAATTCGATGACGTAATTTGTGTCATTAACAAGATAAAGCAATTTATTCGGTGAGACTTTACATAATATTCTAAGCGCTTGACAAGTTGATTTTAAGAGTAAATTATCTACCCTACTTTCATTTGAATATACTTTACCCCACTAAGTGATATCGCCTGAAGAACATTTGAAATTCAAGGATCACTAGACACCTGTGTTGTTCTAGCTTATGAAATACCAACACGGTAAATTTATAATGCCGGGGAGGATTTAAATAAGAGATTTCAGGTCTTATGTTAACTTTAGACCATTTAGTTCATTTCCAATAGTCCAAATTTTCGCATTTACTCATTTTACGACTCAACGTGAAGATTATTCATTGTCACCGAAAAAACCTGTTTCATTCCTGACATCGTCAAATTGAGCAGTCGCTAGAGCTTCTCGAATTCATATGG